TAAGAACCACAGTGAAAAAATATGAACAACTCAATTCTTCATTACATGTTTGACAAATGTACATGACCAGGGAACCCTTGTCCACACACATACATGCACCACTAATTGGTATGATGAAGAACACACTTTGGGAAATTTTTAAAAAAAAGAAGAAGAATCAGACACATTGGCATCAGGCAGGAAGGCCAAGCAGTGGGGGGAGAAATAAAATGACCCGGCATCTTAGGAAATTCCTGCAGTTGGTGCCCACACTGCAGTGCCCTGACTCTCAATCTGCTTCAGCAGCCCTGAGTCTGCACGCCACCCAAATTCATATGGGGTTGATTACCAAGCCGAAGGCTGCCTGAGCTGTTGGGTTGGCCTGTTACTCCCTTAAGAGAAGAGCTTATGTGCATTTCAAGATAATCAAGCAGCGATGACTGATGAAGATGACTGCCTCTCTTACTTTTAAATTTGAAGTAAAGAAGCAGTGTAAAGTCTATTTTGTTGTTCCTGGAAGTATGAGATTACCTATTAAGATATCAGTTTGAAAAATTCGAAAGTGAAGCTAAAAAGTGAGGGAGTGACATAATGAAAAGATGGGGTCAGATAAACTAGTTTTACAATTCTGGCTTAGCTGTGTGACCTTGGGCAACTGACTTAACTTCTCTGAACCTCAGTTACCATATCTGTAAAAAAACACTTCACTCACAGAATAGTGCAAGCATTAGAAATAACATATTATCATGAATTATTATCTTGTTATTATGAAAAATATGTATGCTTAATATGTAGTAAATATTCAGTTAATAAAAACTATTTATGTTATTTCCATTTCCATGAGAAAAGAATTGGTAGTTTAAGATAAACAGTACTTGTTTGATTCCCACACTGTAAATATCTTCTAACATCATGCCATTTTTTCATCTTGTTAATGTAAAGCATGGCCTGGGTTCCAGAATGACTGCCAGTTTAAAAATCTCAACTCTATGATGTGCTCTCTGACCTTGAACAAAACACATGACCTCTCACTGCCTCAACTTTCTAATATATAAATTGGGACAATAATATCATTTATTTCCTGTTTTTTTTACAGTTCTTGTGAGAATCTAGTTAAATCATACACTTAAGAACTCATTTTTCATTGTTGTTAATATCAACATTTCTCAGTGCCTTATAAAATGTTTGCATTTGAAAAATGGTACTCCAACAAAAAAAAATGATTGGATGTAAGACAAAACCAAACAAATGATTTTCTTTTTTATCATCTTTCTCTTCACTCACCACCTCTGGCATTCCTTGGCCCCAGGTAACTGCCCACTGAGTCTCAGCTGTCACTCTGACAATTCCTTTCTCTTGAGTGTAGTCCACAGGAGCTACACTGAGATGATGTCCAGTGCGGCCTTAGGACAAGAAGGTTCACATTGGAACAATTCCCAAGGCAGCACCAACTTCACTAGTGACAGTTTATGGTATTTCCATCTTCTTCAGTGATTGTAATATTTTTCTCCTTTATTGAATTTGTAGATAAGAGCTACCAATTCAAATCTGTTTGGCTCTAAATTTCATTTTCTTTTTACAACATAACAGCAACAATCTCACTAATAATAAAAACTAACATTTATTGATTATTTACTAGGTGCAGAAACCGCTCCCTAAATTACCATAATCATAAGTTATTCACTTTCATTATCTTCTGTAATCATCACAGCAACCCATTCATGGCAGACACCACTGTTCTAGATGAGGAAATAAGGCCCCAGAGGTGAAGTGAGCTGCTCAAGGGCACCCAGCTGAGAGATGGTAGAATCGGGATTCACATTCACTTGGGGCCCATTCAAGAACCCACACCTCTCGCCACTTTTTGTTGCTGTTATGTTTTCAGAACTTTTTTCCTCCTTAATGATTGGAATGATGTAATTTATATCAACTGATAAGCCTAAATCTTGTGTGTTTTTCTCCTCTGTAAGTGAAAATGGCATTATGACGAGATGCAGCAGCGTCAGGGCCCTTCATTCAGGTCATGAAGGCTTAGTGAGTGCTGGTAAAGTACGGCCAGAGCCAGGGAAGGGATGTTCAGAAAGACAAGTTGGGCTCTTCCATCTGCGGGAGCTCTGTGGAATGGGTACGCTCTCCCAGGCAGGCTTTCTTCATTCCGGTTCCCTCTGACAAGAGAACTTGAAACAACCCATACATTTCTCTTTCATTGCAAATCCCCCTTATCTTAAAAATTTTGGTTCAAAATTTATACTATCCCAGAAGCATTTTTGATGAGTGTAGTCATCTCCTTGTGTACCCAGTGATGCCAGAGCTGTGCTTATGTAATGTCCACATGGAACAACATACAGGCACTACACATTGTACAAACGTACAAATTGCAGGCCAAAACTCAGGTAGGCAAAGTTGCTTCATTTTTTAATTTAAAAAATTATTTATTTTTAAAAGATTTTATTTATTTATTTTTAGAAAGAGAGAAAGAAGGGAGAAAGAGAGAGAGAAACATCAGTGTGTGGTTGCCTCTGACACACCCCCTACTGGGGACCTGGCCCTCAACCCAGGCGTGTGCCCTCTCTGGGCATCAAACCTGCGACACTTTGGTTTGTAGGCTGGTGCTCAATCCACTGAGCCACACCAGCAAGTGCTTTTAAGAAAAAAAAAAGTAATAACAGAACTTTGTCTGTTAAAAGTTGCCTTTCTAATAAATGTTATGAACTTGTTATCAGCCAATATGTTAGATGCAACCAGTTAGATGGTTGCAACTAACTTCTGAGAGAAGCTAATGGAAGTATCAAGGCTTTGGATGAGGTAGAGATAGGAGAATGAGGAAAACATGTCTGTTCTGAATTATCTTCCATGAATGCCATCATTAGGTGAAATAGCCATTCTAGTCTTTCTTAAGTCTTGTGCTGATCAATGTTACTCCATGCTACTCATGAGCATATGTGAATCATTTTTGCTCTCTGCTGTTACTTCCTAAATAGACTGCCTGTATGCAAGTCATTCATTATCTGAGACTCTGCTTACAGGAGGAACTAAGCTGAGACAAGACCTTTAAAAATAGAAATTTCGAAGCCTGGTCAGGGTCTTCATTTAGCTATGGGATCAGTATTAAGAGGTGTATGATTTAACACTGGCTCCTTTTTTTTGTATTCTAGGCTCTCAACAAGGTACAATTTGAAAGGAGTGGTATTAGTAGTGGAATGAAAAAAATGGAACTTTTATTTTTCAGTGAATTTTGTTGACATAGTAAGGTTATGTAACAAGGCACTTCAACACTCGGGTGCTAACAACACATTTCTTCTCATTCTTACAAATTGGCAAGATAACAATTTCAGCTTATTTAGGCTGCACTTACCTGGACAGCCCTGTTTCATGTTGTAAGTTGGCTAGAATGTGGATCTACTGCATATCTATTTGTTCTAGAAACAGGCCGAAGGGGCGGTAATTACCTGGGCACACTCCTCATTTAACCCGGGATCACTGAAAACAAGAGGCAAGCCAAACTGTGCAAGCACATTTAAAGCCCTTGCTTGCATCACATCCACTAATATTCCACTGACCAAAGCAAATCACAAGGTCAAGCTCAGCATCAGTGGGCCAGGAAAGTACACTCTTCCACAGGGGCAGGGGGAGTGGAGTGAATAATTGTTATCACGTGCATTAGTGCTTTAACCTTGCAAAATTATAAGGCAGTTACAAAACTACCATTTCTCCTTACGGACTTAGATTTGTATTTAAGAATTAATATGTATTCTTGGAACATGTTTGTGTTTGTACTTGAAGCTTGCACATGATTTATCCAACCATTACCAAACAGGCATTCAAGAAAAACAGACATATCTTGAACCATTTTTGGTGGGAAGACTTTGAAAATGGTTTGATGCGAAGGACAAAAGATGCTTAGAACAGTCTTTCTAGAATTCTTGGGAAAATATTTTAGTTTGAATGAATAATTGTGACTTAAGAGAAAGAAGGGAGTTTTAAGGAAAACCATCCACCCTTGGTGGGAAGGTAAGATTCTGAAAAGGTGGGTGGGAAGTCCAGGGATCTGGGGATGAAGGTTTGAAGCAAGAGAGAAGTGGGCCTGAGGGCAGGAGTCAGCCCTGGGAACGGGGGCTTCTGATGAGGGCCTTCCCGGAAGGATTTGGCACTTAGCTGTTATAACCTGGCCTGTGAACAAGGTCATGTTAACGAACTGCTGCAAATCATTTCTCTCACTTGAAGTCAGTTCCTGTAGGTTTTTTCCTCAACACTTCAGTTAAGGCTCAGTCATACTTTTTATGCTGTCAATAAGTAAAGGACTGAGCTATTAGAAAAAATAAAATATATCTATTCAAGTAATTCTTAAATTGCCTTTTAAAAAGCCCCTTTTTCTTTTTAAATTTATTTTTATTGTAGTTTTTCCATTACCATTTAGTCCGCTTACGCTCCCTGCCCCCCATAATCACCACATTGTTGTCCGTGCCCATGAGTCCTCTTTCGTTTTTGCTCAACCTCTCCACCGGCTAAGCCCACCCCCCATCAATCAGAGCTGTCATCCTGTTCTATGAGTCTGTCCCTATTGTGCTTGTTAGTTCAGTTTCCTCATTAGATTCCACATATGAGTGAAATCACATGGTATTTGTCTTTCTCTGACTGGCTGATTTCACTTAGCATAATGTCCTCCAGGTCCATCCATAAGGTTGCAAAAGATAAAATTTTCTTTCATTACAACTGAGTGGCATTCCATTGTATAAATGTGTCATAGTTATTTTATCCACTCATCTACCGGTGGAATTTGGGCTGCTTCCAAATGTTGGCTGTTGTAAATAATGCTGCAATGAACGTAGGCATGCTTATATTCTTTTGAATTTGTGTTTCACATTTTTCTAAAAAGGATTTAACTTCTTAATGTAAACCTTGAAATTTTCTTTTTGACAGTTCATTTGGGAAACACAATAACTAAGAGGAGAGCCTGTTTTTGTTGAAATCATGAGCTTTTTTCTTTTTGACTTAGTGATAAATCATTTATTCTTCTGATTTATAAGCATATTTTACATATACTGATTAATACATCAAATGTATAATGTGGGAGCTCCCTTAAGAATGCTAAGACCACATATGTTAAACTCAGCTACACATTATATTTGGGCTATTAGACAAATGTCACTTTAATACAATACATACATATTATACTTTTTTTTTTTTTTTACTGACAGAAGAACATGCCTTTCAAAAATATTTTATTGGATGAAACTTTCTTATTCTCATGAAAATTTTGGTTCTTGAATACAATTTATTATGCCTTTTAAAATTGTTTGATAAAAGCATTGGTACATTATAAATACCTGTAAAGAAAATATAGTTTAAAATTTTAAGGGAAACATTATATAATTTTTCTCTTTTACATTTTCACAAAAATTCACACAGGCACTAAGAAAGACTGACAAAAATATTTTTTTGTCTGAACAATATACTCCAAGGTTGGAAACATTCAAACGTGACTTTATTTAAATATTAAAGCTTCTCTAGAGTGAACCTTTGGCTACCATCCAATGAGCTGTTTGGGGTTTTAACCAGGAAAAGATACTGAAAAAGAAAGCTTCAGACAATTAGCAGTAGGTTAAGAATGAGGAAAAGATGAGTTTTCATTTATTATTTTTTATTGGGCTCTCTAGGCTTTAGCTTCTTTTTAGTTGAAAAATTGTCTCATAACTCCCTGGTCCTTTTCAGCTTTAACATTTTTGATGTGCCGCAATTTTCAAAATTCTATCTCATACTCCGTACCAAACAGCATGGGAAGCTTCCAAGAACAATGTGATGCTACAGTTCTTTTAGGAGGACATTCTGGAAGCTTCATGGGAATTGCTCTGGAATAACCCTTATTCTGCACAAATTCATATGGTAGAATAGGGGGTGAAATTTCATCTTACTAACCACATTTCAGACCAAAGCAAGTGACAGACTCTAGTGTTCTCTTCTTAGTCTAGTTGGTATGTAGCCTGATAAAGTTGAGTCTTCATGGAAGAATTGCAAACAGCACATCTACTAGGAAAATGCCACTGCAGGTGACTAGAGCTTTGGTGAGCACAGAGAGAGAGTGGGCAGCTAGTGGGTTGGCAGTAATGAATTAGAAGAAATGGGCAACCAGGGATGGTGAGATTAAATGGACATGTCAAACTAGGTATCAGAGGTACTTTCAGGAGATTAAAATACCATTTGGGGGGCTGATAAATTAGTTAAGCCATGGAAAATTCTCATAATTATTATCACTCAGATCCTGTCTGAAAGAAATTGAAGATTTTTTAAAGTGCATTTACACTTCGAACATGTTCATTTAGTGCAACAGCAGGCAACATAAAATGTCTGTTGAGTGCTCACCAGGGAGGTGGCTGCCATAGCAGCAGGGAGCTGAGCACATTGGGGACTGGGCATTCAAGTCTAGTTGGGCAGCTGCTACTTAGCTCTAAGCAACTGTTGCCACCAGGGAAGATGGGCCTGTGAATCCAATTTTATGTAAAATCACATATTTTCAATAATCCCTTTTTTAATCACTTAAAAAACATTTTACATGCCAGACAAAATCTACCTGAAGAACAAATGTGGCCTGTGGGCTGCCAATTCGTGTCCTCTGAGTCAAAACTTGAAAGCAATTTGACGAGAATTTGGATACTATTCAGCTGTAAGGTTGGGGAGCAGCCTTTAGTGTCAAGGAATGATCACGTAGTTTCAAAGATCCTGAAAGACCTATGCTAATGCATACGATTTTAAAAGCAAAGACCACTTCCTATTGGCTCTTCCCATATGAATAGTTTCCTGTTAATTAGCTTGGTTCTCTGTGTTATGAGTGGCTTTCTGTTATTATGGCTAAAAAAAAATTATGGCTAGGAATTAGCCAAGTCCCGAGTGTAAGTTTGTTCTAAGAATGTAGTGTAAATTAATTCTCTCGGTATTAATAGTTTGTGGCTAAGACAAGTGAGGAGAACCTTGAGGAGGGGAAAGAGGCAGACCAGAGCACAGAGGGTGAGCCGCAGACCCCGTCAGGCCCATGGCGGCCTGCCGGGTGGCTCGCCAGGCAAAGGCTGTTCCAACACCACTCTAACCAGGTAACGCAGACTCTGATGCCTGGTTATGGAGCTAAGTAACCCAGCTCCCCCTCCCCGACAAATGACCATAGGGTCATGCCCTGAATAAGTAGTACTTTGGAATAGAAAATGTAGGGTCCAGGTCTGATTGTAAACTCTTTCATCACAGCCTTTCCAAAGCCTCTGTGGCATCAGAATTCAAAGAATCACAGGGCAAAGACAGAGGACAGCTACCAGAACATGTTCCTTACTTTTGTTCCTTGAAGATTACTTTTTAAATTAATCTATTGCCAAGATTAAGACTTTTCTTTTGAGAGATGAAATGGGAGGGTCCAAGAAGGTGGTCTAATGTGGTTTGAGGACCATGTGTGAACTGTGTCTCTATAAAGAACACACACTTTACTTGCGTCAGCAGAGAAGAGATGCTTTGAAAGAGCTGTGATCCATTCAGGAAGCTGGATTTACTATGTGAGCTCATCTCTTTCAAATGGCCAGTTTGGGGAGAAAAAGGAAAAGTATCACCAAGGATATTATATAAGCATAAGAATCAATGACAAAAACAACTACTTCAGGCACAGGCAAAATCTAAGGGGAAGAAGCATGAATATTTCCAACTCAGGACCACAGACTTATTTTAATTTTCCTCCTTCATAATGTCCACCAGAGCTTGCAGCAGGCGGTCATCTCTGTGCTTATAAGGTTTGGTGTTATAGAAAACATCGACGTAGTCGTTATATAGACTGTCCTCAGTGTCTCTAAGCTGGGAAGGTTTGTTCAGCTTTTCCAGGGCTTCGTAGAAATTTTCATAAGGGATGTTGACCTTTGCACTTGGAGACTTTGTTGGTGATTGCTTTAGTGGTGAGTTTTTGCTGAAAGCACTTTGTAGGAGTCGCAGCATGGCCTGGGAGGAGGCACCCTCTACCAGCTCATCCCTTCTGTTTCCCACACCACTGCTGCTGCCGATTTTTGCAGTCAGGGCGGTTTCCTTCAGGTTCTTTTCCATGGGCTGCTCCTAAAACACAGAAATGCACCATCAAAGGGAAGAAGGCTCATTTTCAGTGCTGGGCAGGCTGGCTGCAGCAGCTGCCCCTGCTGCTCCTGGAGAGGCGGTCGAGGGGCAGAAAGAGTATGAGGCTTAGGGTCACACTAACTCAGGTACCCAGGGCACTTTCTAAATTGTCTTTAACCTCACTTGTAAAGTGGGAATAAGAATGCCTCTATTTCTGGTGGATTTGAAGACTAAACTTAGGTTATTAAGTGCTCATACTTACTGGTATCGAGTTCAAGTTAGGGAATTTAATAACTTTGAATTGATTAGTTTTAATTTCTAAATTCTAGATAGATAAATAAATAAATAAATAAAACAGTACAGTTTCATCGTATAGAAAATAAACAACTTACCACACCCACTCCCTTTCTTCCTTATTCATGTTTAACTCACTCTCTGCTGAAAAGTTAGGGGCAGCTTCACTCACCACACTGTCAATTTACAGTTCAAAAAAAAAGCATGCCAAGAAGAATGTAGCCACACAGACCTCCCCTGACTCTGCCATCTTCTCCACCCCTCTTCTGTCATTCTGCACGGTGTTGTAAGAGGTGTACACACGAGGCTGCTTCATGTGCTCTGGCTGAGAGGAGGTCCCGTGCAATATCAGCTTCCAGCTCACAATTCTTCCCTCATTTTGCATTCTCCCAGACTGGCGGATAAGCATACGTAACTTTAGTGTGTGTTCCGAGTAACATAAAACAAGCTCCTTCAAAATATCTATAAAGGATTTTAGAGTTAAAATCTAATTTAAAATGTTTGTGTATTACATGTGTAGAGCTCTGTGCAAAAAGAAATAAATCACCGGGGAGGGGATAAGTGGTGATGGAAGGAGACTTGACTTGGGGTGGTGAACACACCATACAACATACAGATGATGTGTTATAGAATTGTACACCTGAAACCTACGTAATTATATTAAGAACGTCACCCCAATAAGACAAAAGAAAAAATTTAAGGAGAAAAAAAGATCCCTGACTCAGTGGCTCAGTTGGTTGATGTGTCATTTCACACACCAAAAGGTTGTGGGTTCAATCCCTGGTCGGGGCACATGCCTAGGTTGCAGGTTCCATCCCCATTTGGGGCGTGTACAGGAGGGAACCGATTGATGTTTCTCTCTCACCTGTCTCTAAAATCAATAAACATACACTCAGAAGAGGATTTTCAAAAAAAGATAACAAAAAAAATGGAAAATAATCACTGGATTTACTCCTGGAATGGAAATTGACAGTTTACAGGCTTGAGGATCCAAAAACCAACTAGTTTATTTAATTTGCTTCATTTAATTAAAAAAGCAGAACTCTCATGGGCAGGGGAGGCTGTGTCAGGGGAGAACAATGGGGAGAACAGGGACAACTGTATCTGAACAACAATACAAATTTTTTAAATTTAAACATTAAAGCACAACTATATTAACCTCCTTTTTTAAAAAACCTCCTTTTTAAAAAAGGATTTTATTTATTTATTTTTAGAGAGAGGGGAAAGAAGAGAGACAGAGAGGGAGAGAAACATCACTGTGTGGTTGCCTCTCACATGCCTGCTGGGGACCTGACCCACAAAACAGCCATGTGCCCTGACTGGGAATCGAATCAGTGACCCTCTGGTTCGCAGGCTGGCACTCCATCCACTGAGCCACACCAGCCAGGGCTAACCTCCTTTTCTGTATGAGATGTGCTCTTAAAAAGTTGACTGTACCTTCTATGAACAGAATTATATTTACCAATTACCAACTTGTAGAAACATTTCATTAGGGAAAAAAGTCAGCCTCTACAGAGTATTACCAATAGCCTTCAGCATTAATCAGCCCTTAAAAATGACCTTATGGGAACAGTAATAGTTTTCAGAGGCTCAAATGCTATGTTAAAAGTAATATGCTGAGATCTAAAATATCTAAAAAAACATTTAAAAGTATAGAGTCAAATTCGGCAGACTTCTCTTGGTCAGTAGGCTTTCCTAGTTTCCTGGTGGTGAAACTGAGTTAGAATGGCGGCCGTGTGCAGGAACAGGCCCGCCCACCCACGAATAACACTTTCTCATTCTCGCTATGAGAGCGGGAATGTTTACCACTTCCATTTCTAAATTACAATTTTAACTGTCTTTAGGAGAAAGCAAGTCTCAGGGAAAAAAGTAACAATAACTATAAGATTTGTATTAATTTAATTGATATCTTCAGGAATTTAAAATCATCTCTTTTTAAAAAGTTACTTAAACATTGAGATCTGGGGCTTCTGATACTTATAGCACATCTCAGGAGAATGCAAACCAAAAAACTCTTTTATTTATATGCTCACCTATAGAAAATGCTGGGGAAAGGATGCAAAAATAAATAATTCAGCTGTATAAGTATTTGGCTTTTTGCTCAGGCACTCCTTGCTTTATTTTGGGGACTGTATGTTATAACTATAGAGTGTTAGTAAACAGAGTGAAAGAGAAATGTTTTTTACTTTGTTTCATAACTGAAGAAAAACAAGACAAAGTTATGTTAAATAAACTGGTTGTCTAATAAGTAAGCTACTTCTAAACAGCCACCACAGTAAGTATCTGTAAGAGTTCCCTCGTGTGACTCCAGTGGAGTGTCATGAGCAGAACCAGTCTAGCATTGAACTGTGTTTGAGAATACAGCTCATCCTGGTGCGTAGGTCGTGTGGTGGGCTACGTTCTAACGTGGGAACACTGGGATCTGTCCCCCAGCCTGTCACATTGTAGACTGGGGTATCTTCTCTTCCTTCTTCTGTCCCTAGTGCCTAATCTTTTTTTTTTTTTTTAATCTACGTAGCCAAGTAGGCAGGACTTAAAACACTACATCTTTTTCTTACTTCAACTACGGGGTAGTCAAAGTTCCTTGGAGGCCTTATTAATGATAACCCCAACCTTAAAACTCCTTCAAAGTGTTTAAGCTTGTGATTCTATAGCCTTTTCTTCTTCCTTACCATGTCTGCAATTCGCAAAGTCCAGGTGCCTATTGGATTCTCTCCCCACGTGTGAACAGACATGAAGTCCCAATTTTTAAAGCCATTAGGAGAAGTATCCCGCTCTCTTTCAGCCAACAGAACAGTGTTGGTTCCTATTTTCATACAAAAAACACAAGTTAATAAATGTTCTAACAGTTCTGATAGCATACACGCTAGCATCTGATAACTGAAAATGACAGCTGGGAGAGATTAGCCCTCCAAATTTTCCTGTTGAGCATAAGACCAGGAAAGAGACATTCACAAGAAAAAAAGTGTTTTTGTCTTTAGGACTTTGCACCTTATCTGGCATATGTTCTCAATAATGTGGAAAAATAAATAATGAATGACTATATTAAAGTTTATTTGCATAAGGATAACTCAAAACCACATCTACAAAGTATTGTACATTAAATAAGAGAGTCAAAGACCTAAAATACATTTTAATGCAACTATCATTTTAAAATTTAAGAGGAAATTTTGAAAATTAATAGGTAACTGCATCTATAATCTTGTGTATACATAAAAATAAAACTATATTAATTTAATAGTCTTTTATCAAATAAAACTAGTTTTCAAATTAAAATGTTTTGTAGATCAATAAATACTATTTCTAAGTGAAAGAGTCAAATGAAAAGGCCATCAGTGAAAAAGCATTACACCAATATTTCAGGCCAATTCCAAGATATCTGGAAAGTGTAACTCCAAAATTAACAGAACCTACTCCAAGTCTCTAAGAAGTTCATATCCAAAAAAATTATAGAGATAGCCCATCTTTCCTCACATATCACCTATAGACATTGAATTTAGTCAGAGATCGAATCCTACCAAAACATAAAAGTGTTGGGATAGTTTCTCCTGCCTGGATTGTGGTTTGTGTTCACAAGCTCTTTTCCATCCAAGATCTCATTGGAATTAATACCCTCTCAGGAAAAGTGAATGCCCCAAAAATCATATTGTATGGCCTGAATCACATCATTATGGAAAATTTGTTAGTCTTCTCAACCCTATTTCATGGATCAGAATTCTCAGTTTTTCAGCTGATTCCTTGGATGTGTCTGATGTACCGGCCAGCTTAATTAATTAATTATCAGAGTAATTATCACTAACATGTTATCTGAGAAAAAAAGAATGACAGATCAGTGACCTAGGAAAATGAATACAATTTTAAAATGAGTATTAAGGTATTAATTAAACTCCAGAAAGGCTTATTAATTAAAGATATTATTTGAATATACCTCACTCTTTGCTTATCTAAGGACCAGTGGGAATGAGCAGGGCAGAATATATATATAGTGCTTTTTGTTTATTTATTTATATATATATATATAGTTTATATATATAGTGCTTTTTGTTTATATATATGTTTATATATTATATATATTTATATTTGTTTATAAATAAATATATATATAAATATATTTAATCCTCACCTGAAAACATGTTTTTATTAATTTTATAGAGAGGATAAGAAAGAGGGAAATACTGATGTGAAAGAGAAACATTGATCAGTTGCCTTCTATACACGCACCAACCAGGGGTTGAACCAGCAACCTAGGTATGTACCCTGTCCAGGAATCAAACCCACAACCTTTTGGTGAAAGGGATGATGCCCCAAACAAGTGAGCCACTCAGCCAGGGCATCAGCAGCAGCATATTTTTTAAGATCTGAAAATATCTACTGGGAGACAGTTCTATACAGAAACAAACTCATTCATCTGAAATAATTTAGTTTATAGTTAAAAAGTTACACATATGGTTTAAAAGAAATTTTTGAAGATTTAAAAATCTTTACCAGCAGCAGAGGTGAGCGTGACATGAAGGTCTCCTCTTCGAGAATATTCAATTGTTGCTTCAAATTGTACATGTTCCAGGGACTTGATAGCATTTTCCTGTCCTTCACAAGCTCTTGTTGGAATCTCAATGATAACTTCTCCATTAGCTTTCAGGGCTCTAAGTATATTAATGAATCATCACTGAATAAAGTACATCTCTTCTTTTTTGTATTTTATGCAAATGTATAAACATCAGCCTTGTCTAGATCTCAACTAAGCTTGATGTTTCTCCCTATTATGAGTAGTACCCAGTTCAGGACTATAAATGCATTTTAATGCATAGAAGATATAAGGTTTTTAAAGAAATAGAAAAAAACCCCAGTAATTCTACAGTTTTTATGGAAACACAAAAGATCACAAATAAGTAAACCAATCCTGAGAAAGAAGAACAAAACTGAAGGCATCATACTTCCTAATTTCAAAATACATTAGAAAGCTACAATAATCAAAACCGCATGGTACTGGAAAAAATCCGAGACATACAGGCTAGTGGAACAGAATACAGTTCTGTTAAGTGTACTTACCACAATTAAATAAAAAGAAAATGATAAGGAATAGAGATACTTGAAAAAAATGCTCTTTACTATGGAATAAAATTCAGGTAGTTTTGCCTTGGATCTATCAAAAAATAGTTTATTATTGCAATAGACCCTCTTAAAATATATATTTTTAAAGACGATTTTATCTTCCTAATGCATGTCCCCCATGCCTCCCATCCTTGGGTATTTTGTGTGAGTGGGTCTTCAATATAATCATGGTTGTCATGACAGAACCAACAAAACAGACATAGCATATTTTACTTTGTGGCCAGATGTGTTGGGGCAGATGTGGTCTATGTAAAAGCAGTATGATAAAGGTTCCTTCATGGGAGAAAAGTCATTATTCACCTTGCACTGTGGCATGAAGTGAGGCTCTTGAGTTTTGGATAATACTGGCTGTCAAGCATTGTATTTTATCAATTCTAAGATGCATATTTAAACATTTTAACATCTCTGAATCTGGTATAAATCTTAAAGTTGGTGATAGTTTAATTAGCAATGATTATTCTTAGTGCTATATAAAACAATGGTCACCTTAAACTTAATGTTTAAGATAGTAAATGTTGGATAGTAAATTGTCTACGAGAGGAAAATGCAAATATGCCAGTGTGATTTGCAGATCTTTGATCTCAATATTCCCCCTGAACCCACAGGGAACACTAGCAAATGCTACCTCCATCTACTTCAGAAAGGTAGGTGAATAAAAAATCAGGCAAAATGGCAAACATTATAGCAAATAACGCCATGGGAACGCTTCTTGTCCAAAATTCCTGAGACACTTACCTGGGCTCAAAGTCATTATCTTTTACAACACACTGTTTCTTCTCAGGCACACTGTTCCAGGTTCTCGGATCAGCTAAGTCCACCAGAGCTTTGGCATTTAGCAGCCCAAATCCAAATCGACTGTTCACCATCAAGCCTGCTCCATTCTTTTTCCATCCAGGGTTATTAGCCAGTGGGTCATACTCAGAGGTCCAGACAACCAAGTGCTGCATATCTCTCCAGGTGAGATTTGGGCTGGATAGAAAGTGACCCAAAATATCTTTCAGTGACCAAATGAAGTTTCCTTGTAAAAGCAAGTGCTAAAAACAAGCATCTCCATTTGGAAATTATGAAGTACCTTTTGCAACTGTACTTGTGTAATTCTATTTTGTGTTACTATTTGTATGTCTTTTCATTCAATTCAAAATATGGTATGGAAAACTTTTCCCCATACCATGTAAGTTAAGTTCTTACTGTGGGTGAAATTTTGTGTTCAGCATTGTAGAAATGCAGGACTTGACTCATGACTTCTAATTAGTTAAAGTTAACTGGAGCAAAACTTTAAAATGAAAGCACTTCTGAGACAGGCTAGTAAGCCACGACAAGTGGAATAGGGAAACTAAGACATAGCTGATCACACTGGCCAAGCAATTTACAGCCAGATGCAAAAGTTCACCTCCCCAGAGATAGCATCTAGGCCTCAGTTGTATTTTAGCTGCAGGCCCAGAAAAGCAGCAAAACCTGGTGCTGCCAGGACCAGCTGCAATGACAAAGATCCTCTTCCCTGGCACTGACCAATCAGTGGAGACTGTGGCCCTGAAAGGGCACACCTGAAGAACTGAGGAATATTCTACTGAAGCCTTCCCCTGAGACCTCTTCTAAGATTCTCACCTACAAGATAAAAATCAAAACTGAAGATGAAGGACCCTGGACATGCTCTCCCTCTGGGGAGTAGCCTGCACCGGTCCCTTCCCCTCTCCTTCCTCCTCTCCTTCCTCCTCTCCTTCCCCCGCAGGCACACATCTAAACTCTAAGGGTCCCCACCAGACTGAAGCCAGGGGAGTAATGGGCAGTGACAGCTTGTCCCAGGCTAATTCCGTGAACTTGTCTCCAAGGTTCCCTTTCCTCTGACTTCCCAGTGAGCTAAGGCAGCCCAGCCGAGGCTCTCCTGTTGATTCTTCCATGCTAGGGCCTTCCTTGTTTCACTGTCTGCAACTTCAGTAAATGTACTCTTACGGTCGGTCACCTGGTCTTGCACTGTGAATTTTTTCTGTCATGATGTCAAGAACCCAAACACTTCTGGCTGGCCCTGGGCAGACACACTCAAGACCAGGTGTCCTGTCTGGTAACACTTCTTTTGTGTTTCCTAGTCCTCAGCTGTAGGCTTTAATTTCCTTCTTAAGAAGACTCAGATTTAAAGACACAGGCGGCTTCCTACTCAAATACTTTTTGTCTTTTTTCTTCATGTATCAAAAGTGTCAAGAAACTCTTAGCTGCTTGAGATCACTCTTGCAAGGCACTATGCTTAATACTAGAAGTATATTTGAGGAGGTGTTCATTGTTTTTAAGAAGCTTACAATCCAGTAAAAGAACTAAGTTTTTTTTTGTAATTATAATATAGCTATTGAATGCTGTGTTTACTGCATAATGCATTGCAGAAGTTTAGAGGAGAGAGAATTCTTTTGGGATAGGAAGATCTGGGGAGGCTATGCTGGAAGGAAATAGTTGAGCTGAACTTTGAAAAGTGGGTAGAATTCCACCACTTTGGCAAGTGGTGGAATGAGAGGAAAGAGGGTGAGGCGACAGAGCAAAACCTGTGAGTGGGGGGAAGTCCAGGACGGGGCCCAAGTACAGTGGGTAGTCTGGTTTGCTGGAGCAGGAAGAGGAGATGAGGAGTAAGGGCCCAGACAGTGGGGGCCTTGACTGCCATGAAAGGGGCTCATACTTTATCATTTGGCCAATGGGGAATGATCGAGAAATTTTGGGCAAGGAAATGGTATAATCAGAAGTCTTAATAAAATTAATTTAACAGCAATATAAAGATAAACCAGAGGTGCATAGGATTCTTGGATCTATTACAGTGTATATGAAACCTTTCCTGATGACCCTATTTAAAATTTCCATTCTTCCCACATGCTCCTGATACTGCCATACTTTTTTTTTTAGATAGCATTTATCACCTTCGAACGTACAGGGCAATTCATTTGTTTTGTATATTATTAGTGTCTGTCTCCCTGCTAGAGTTAGGCATGAGAAGGGCTAAGATTTTAATCAATCTTTTTGTCTGATGTGTGCCTAGCACTCGGAAGAATTCCAGGCACAGAGTATCCACTGAGTAAATATTGGTTGGCTGAATGATTGAATGTGACTATGTGTTAATGAGCCCCAGATATAATTTTAAAACTTACTGTTATTAGTCATTAGAATTATTCAAGATCTCAAGCTTTCCCTCATCTTTGAGATCTGCACTGTTTCTATTAAGCCAATGAAACATAATTTAATAAATAAATGTCCGAGTCTTTAGTCCTCAAGGTTTCTATCTTATCACTAGGTTGTGAAGCAACCCTTAAGGGAATATGGCTCAATTTACTATTTTCTCCCTAGAGCAGTAATACATTGGTTAAGTCGCCCCCTGGTATGCACTGCAAAGGCTACCTGGCAGGCCTCACAGGGAAGCTCCCTCCGCACACCAGCCCAGGTACACAGCCTACCTCGAGGGAGTTGCCGTCAAGGACTCAGCCCCCTTCCTTGGCCAAGCTTTCCCCATATGTACATTTCTAGCCCCTCACACCCTCATTCTTAGGTCTCCTTATCTGAGGTCTTGGGCAGCAACCTGCTCTGGTGAGGCCTCCTTGTGGGGGGGAGTGGGAGAAACCTTGAGGACATTTTCCCTGCTCTGACCACCCAGTACTTCTCCACTCCCAGCCTTCCTCCAGGCCCCACCCACCCCAGAGTCCATAAAACTGCCAGAGCCTTTTGTTGGGGCTCCCTCAACAATGAGAAGATGCCCATGAACGTAGTGCTCCACTCAACACTCGACTGGTACACTATTCCTTGGGGGGGAAATGGATCGGGGGAGTCAGGAGTTCCTCTTGTTTTAGACTCTGGCTTATACCATCACAGTAAGCGATTAAAGGCTTAACTCTTTCATTTTTGGTTTGTTGCTTTAATCGGCTATTGTGACACCTAGTAGCTCAGTAGACTCTCAGCTCAGCTGAGCTTCTGAAGAACACACCACCCAGAGAGTGACTGATGGAGGCTTTGGATTGAAGGGTCAGCAATTCCCACAGGGCCCAGACTGTACCATAATCACCTGGTACACCAGTAAATACTGATAATTCCTGAGTCCCATCCTAAACATACAGAATCAAAATATCTGAAGGTAGGGCATGGTTTTACATTTATATTTGAAAAAGCTGTCTGGCCAGTTTTATGTTACAGCTAAAACAAGAATTGGAAGAAAGAATACAAGCATATCACTAAGACGGTTAGAAATCAACTCAAATCCTGGAGGTCAGAATAGAGAGTAATAAAAAGCATATTAAATTATATTCTACTACCAAAGACCTGTGTGACCTTAAGCAAGTCACTTCATCTCCCTGGCCTGAGTTGACTTGTTTATAAGAATAGAGGGATGAGTATAATGTCTGGAATTCCTTACTATTCAGACTCCTATCTGCCCAATATTGTAAATACCTCACTACAGATCTTGTCTCCACACTGGCCATCTTACCACATTCAGAAATAATTAACTAGCACAGCAGAAATGGCTATTTTCTTAATGTAGAAATAAGTTCTAAACTATAAAATACTTTACTGAAATTCTTGCATCCTTCTGGTCTCTTAAAGGGTGTTTTAGGCACAAGCCTCTTAACAAGGTGGTCGATGGGCAACATGCCACTTTCCTAGGTGGACCGTCAGTGTGAGCAGGTGTATAGAGGCTGGACAAGGAAGTGCACTGAGAAGGCATAAGGCAGGGTGTTGGTAATAAAACACAAGGCCTAGACTTCCTCTATTTCTATAGCAGAGCATTTGTTTTACACTTAATCGCATATCTTATTGTTTTTAATGTTACTTTACCTATTCTATGCAAAATATTCAAGGGGGCATCATTGCCATGCAATTTGGAAAATTAAGCCCATTTTCCTAACAGCTACTGTTCATTTGTATGATTGAATTTCATAAATAGAAAGGAGCCGCTAATAATAGTACATCTCATTGCTGACAGCCTCCCTTTGTTAATTAGCGCTCACAGCATCCACAATAATTAAAATTTTTAAAGCTGCATTAGGTTGCTAATCAAGGATATGTTTATAGAAAATAAGGACTGTGGAATTAAACACTGAAATTAAGCATTGCTTCTAATTAGAGAGCATAGGTAAAGTAACCTGGAAACAAAATTATAAAATGAGAGAGTCTTACAGGTTACCTGGTTCAGCGTCTAATCACACCTATGTAAGCCTTGTATGTTGAAGATTTTCTAACCTGAACACTCTCCAACATTTCACAACCCACTAAGCCAGTGGTTTCTTTGATGTAATTTATCCAAAGGTTTCATGCATCATTGAAAGTTTATTTTCCTTTCTCCAGCCTTTACTGAAAACAGAAAATTGGTTCACCTGTTTATTTAATACCCCCAAAGATATAAAGGGATTCAATGTTTCACTATAGAATTTGTGCTCCCTATTAAAAATTATTCTGATCCTTTGCTATCTCCACAGAAGACTGAGATTATTGTCTGCCATCTTTTTTATGCATACTCACTGCATAATAATAATGTGCCATAGGCATTTATCCAAGGAATTTCTGTCTTTTTAATGCCTATTAAGTACCTGAATGGGCATCTTCATAATTACAGCTATATGAGGTAGAGGAAAAAACAGTTGTAAATTAACTCTTTGTAGAACTCTTCCTCTAAATTTGATTGAGGTAACTACCAGCATGCAAACTGCCTAACATACATGTTTAAAATGGGGATTCCTGGGCCAAATATCAGAAAATTCTGAATCTGAGTTGATAACAGTGAGGCCTGAGAATCGACTCACTACATAAACTCCTAAGGTGGCTATTATGCATGTTGGTGTTTGGGAAAGTGTTACAGGGAAGAAAGTTCCCCTCTCCATATTTGAGCCAGAGACCATTCTTTCTCTTTCCTTCTCCACTTCCCATCCCCTAGTGCTCCAGCTAAGGCATAACTGATGCAACATAGTAAGAGTAGTTTGCTTGTGACAAGATGTCTTTTATGAGGAACTCATAAACACAGGAGCATTATGAGGTTCCTTTATCAGTCTCCGTCTTTTTAACTCCCCTTTGTCTGAGAGGATGATGGGCTTCCATTCAACATCTTCACTCCGTCAGGCCCCACAGGAGGTAGCACAGTGTATAGTTGCTGATAGCGCAGGCTTTGGTGTCAGACACACCAGAGTTTGAATCTCTCTGTGGGATGCTGGTTACATTTCTCAACCTCTCTAAGCCTCAGTTTCTTTGTTGATAAAATGAAACTAACAATTCCCATGCCACAAAGATGTTGTAAGGATTAAAATCAGCATTGCATATAAAGAAGTTAGCACAGTGTCTGGTCCATGGTAAGAACCTGATAAATACTGAGTATTATTATTCCCAATACATTTAGCCCATAGTTTTACTCCTGGTTCCACAGTTGTTCCTTGAGGACCATCACATAGTTACATGATTCTCCCAATCTTGGCTGACTAGGGAGACTGCTAGAAATTCTGGCCTTCAGATTTTATGAAGTAATTGTCTTGGTACATAGACAATTGAATATAGTTCAGAAAACTACCCATTTGGAAAAAGACATCTCAATAATCCCTCTGTACTTTGGCAGAATGTATATTTAAATGTTAAGATAGTTTATGTCAAGTATACCGATTTTTGAATCTAAATAAAAGGGATTAAATTCTTATTATGTGTACCAGGAAGATCACAAACTCTTAATGTCTCAAATTATGAACAGTGTGGGAATCTGACGGAACCTACAAACCGTTCCCCTGAAAAATGCCGTGCATACAACCACCAACAATTCTGCATCTAGTTCCAAAAAAGCTCATGGACCCCTGGAAACTCACCCACATATTTGCTAGCAATCCATGGAGCCCCTGCTTTAAAAATAGTCCATTAGAAATGAACTGCAATGAACAAGATTACATCATTCTTAGGTCACTTTTTCCTTGTACAAAAAAAGAAGTTTAAAATTTTACAGAGCAGATGTTAAGATTTTAAATTTTCAATTTTTATGTAAAACTAACATTACATCTTCTCACGTAGATGGGTGTTTCTACTGTACTGGTCATTGGACGAGGATGGGTCAGTTCTATTTCCATGTACCTTATACATGTTAGGTAGAAAAGACTTAATATTTTAGGGATGGTTTTCTTCTAATGGGTCCCTGGAGCTAACAGCTTACATCCTGAAATCATGAATATCGTAGGCCTGTTATACCACCTGGGTGTAATCACGTGCCCTCATAGGGCCTTATCTTTTCCATTCAGAACTGCTCACCACCAGCCTCAACAATACATGTTGGATGATCTATGTATGCTGATGCCTTGTATTTCAAGTTGGAGAATTTTATATAGGGAAAAGGTTTGAAACAAATCATCTGATCTGACCCCTTCACTTTATAGATGGTAAATTGAACCCTCACATGAGAATTAACTTGCCTAAGGTCACAAAGTAGTGGAGTGCCTAGAAAGTGAAGCTAGGTGTTCCTTGCACTTTTCGCTGCTTAGATGATTTTTTCTCAAATTAGGTTTGGATCTGCTAATGCCAGTCTTAGCTTGTGTTCATAGGCTTTGGCCTCTGTCCATCCCCTTCCTGTTACAAGTGAACTCAGATTCTAAACATAGCTCTTTTCTTGGTCCCAAGAGTTTTAAGTGTTCCTCTGTTTCTGATTGAGCTCTTCCCACATTTGCTGCTCCCTTACCAGACATCTTTCCAGCCCATTCAAAGATGTCGACTGTTAGTAAAAGCCTTGCTAGGCCTATCTTACTTAGCCACTGTGGCCATCTTCTAGCTGAGAAACCAGAAACGACCTCATAAGTCCGCAGGTAGTCCCGGAGCTCCTGGAGCTACTCTGGGTTCTCTTGGACAAAGACCGAGCAGCTTCCAGACTCTTCCAGCTGTGGCTGGTGTTCTTCTGTTCCTCCTCTGAACCTCATCTACTGAACACGACATGAGGGGACTGCTTTGTCTTCTCTGTAGAACATGAATGTTCTAGGCTAACCTCCTTATTAGGAATAGTAATAGTAACCTACAAGTTTAATCACTTCGCTTATCATGTAACCATATCACCTGCCTTGACATTTAAATATTTCTTACTATACAACATTAGAAACTAGAAATAAGGAAGAATGAAGAGTTGTGGATATACAGTGTGAGACAGCAGGATTTAGAAAAAATGTTGTTAAATTTCTCCGTTTTTGAAGATTTTTTAATTTCTTTTTAGAGAGAAGGGAAGGGAGGGAGCAAGATAGGGGGAGAAACATCGATTGGTTGCCTTCCCCGTGCCCCCAGTAGGGTACCTGGCCAGCAATCCAAGCATGTGCCCTGACCAGGAATCAAACCAGTGACCTTTTGGTTTGCAGGCCAGTATTCAGTCCACTGAGCCACACCAGCCAGGTATAAATCCCTTTTTAACATCATGCACTAAAGTGAATTCCAGGGGGATTAGGACTTAAATATGGCAAATGAATCATAATAAAAACCATATGCATAAATACTCATCTAGTTTTGGATTGTAAACATTTATCTGAGAGTAAAAACAAACAAAAAAACCTTAAAGAACAAAAATGACAAATATAACTGAATACATTAACTTCATCACATTAAAAATTACATATAAATAAAATTAAAAGGGAAGTGTCAAATTAACCAAGCATTACCAGCTTTTCTAAACTAAGGCCATAGAACAAAATCAAGGCCATAAATAAACAATCACAGATGATAAATGGCCAAAAGAATATAAAATATTGAGCTTCATTAGTAAAGACATAAAAGTGTGTAAAGATGAGATACCATTTGCTTGCATCAAAATAGCGAATACTTTAAAAGATAATAAAAATGCTTTAATAAGAGTTTAGGGAAATGGCACTTTCACACATATAATGCTCATGGAAATATAAAATGCTGTAGTCTTTCTAGACAGTAACTTGTCAGTATGTATCAAATCATTAAAACACATATGTCCTGTGACCCAGAAATTCCAACTGTAAGCGTTAATCCTGAGGAAATTATCAGAGACGACAACCAACATTTATGGACAAGGGTGTTTAAGCCTGATTAGGTAACTTTCATAAAATTTGCATTTATATAATAGAATAGTACAAAAAGATTAAAATCCTGTTCTTAATTCTCACGTCCTCATGAGAAGCTGACATGTTATATCAGTTTTAAGACTCAGTGTATATAACATGAAAAAAGAATGTTTTAGAAACTTGTCATTCCTAACGGTACCCACAAGGGATGATCTGGACAAAGTCCTTCCCTGGTGGGAATAAATGGAAGTGAGAAGGCTTTGCAGCTGAGTGAGAGGAGAATTGGGAGGAGAGCATCAGTTTTTGAAGGTCAAGAAACATCGATTGAAACATAAAAAGTGCTCTTAACATATTGTAGGGTAGATTAAAAATTACAAAGTAATGTATATATTGAGATCCCAATTTTGTAAGATACATGTGCATACTAAATTTATGTTGAGATGTTAACAGGAAGAGAGCTTATTTTTATTATTTCTTGTAGCTTTCTATTGTAACCATGCATTTAGAAAACAATATGTTATTAAAAAGAAGATGCAGCCTTAGTAATGGTGACTAGGTGCTTTCTGGGCCTTACTTTGCTTCCAGGGCCAGAGCGAAGATGCCAGCAGCCAGGGGTGCCGAGGCCGAGGTGCCTGTGTGGGTCTCCGTGCAGTCATTGTGCAGGTCGGCGCTAGTCTGGGTGGCATGAGGAAGGAGAGAAAGGCAGGACAAAGTGTAAGGAGTGTGAGTCCATCTCTGGGAGTGAACTGTACCTAGGCTGCACCTGCCGTGATCAGGAAGCTCAGCTGATTCGGCTCCCGACTTCCTCCTCTAAACCACAGATGGATGTTTGCCATCTGCTGATATTTTAGTTCACTCTCCTCTATATGCAACTTGTCTATAATTCTGGCATCAGGATGCCTTTTCGGGGGATGAAGTACTATCACTGTGAATATTTTCTCCTCTGAGATTCCCAAACGAAGTGCTGTCTGAAAATAAGGAACCATTTCAAAGTCATTGTGAATCATGCTGGCCAGTTAATCATCAGGTCCATTGTGTCTGGCCGGGCATATTTAGAAATTCTGCCTCATGCAAAATTCCCTTTTGCTTTCAGATTGACATTTGACTGCCTCTTCAGTGCAAGAATATTAAGCCATTCTGATTTTGGCCACTTGAACTACTTGTAAAAAATGTGTTTAGTGCGTAGTTTGCACTCACTGTTATAATTTGATGCCCATAAATTAGTGTCCACATTTGCACATTCATGAAAATGATGAGTTTTTCAAACAGAAAGTGTACTGCACTTCAGTCTGGGTCCAAGTTCTAACACTGCTGTTCACCAGGTGGGTCTCAAGGGCAAGTCACTTGGGTTCCCATTTGTAAAATGAGGCTGACCTTTCCCAACTCGTATTCTGAGGCTGGAATGAAATCCTGTCTGTGAAAGCATTTTTACGCACTATTATTGAATATAAAGAATTACCCAGGCTAATTATAGCTTAATTGAAGAGGTTGCCGAGATGAAGGGAGGAAACCAAGAAGACTTCCACTCATTCTGCCTTAAAGACCATAGTACTGGTGGTTGAACAACTGTTGGGCTAAAGGATTACTAACAAGACACCCACCCGGACTCTCCCACACTACAGTTTTTAGCTAGGCATTTCAATGTGTGGGAAGGAGGTGCAAAAAAATAATTTGTTATGTTATCACCTCCTTTGGCTTCCCACCTGGAGGTGCTGAATTTCTCAAGTCACAGTGGCTCCGCTCCTCGCTCCTCAGAGGGCTGCGGAAGCAAGGTTGCCCATTTTACCTGCTGACGCAAGTAAGCCCCCAGAGATAACTGTGCTGAGGAAGAGATTCGCGTATGGCAAAGGCTATGTTCTTGCCACTGTCTCAAATAGAATCTACCAGCTGTCTCTCCTGTGGCATATTTACCTAAGGAGGGAGGGATCTTTGCAAAGATGGAAATTAATTCTTTTTCCTCCTTCAGAGCAGAGTAGCTCAGATGAGGGATAGTCTGTGAAATAGTGACTCTGAAATGTGTAATAACAGGCCGTTTTCCCCAAAGCACCTGTGGACACCCACAGGGATGATGACCAGGGGCTCTCAACACAGGTAGAAACATGTATGATGTGCCCCTTTCTAAGGCTATGAAGTATGTCCACCATAAAGAATCCCTGAGTAGAATATCACTTTTGTGTAATTGAAGATATGGGCATGAGAGGGAGGGAAGCCAGTGCTTTTCAGCTGAGGCCCCAGTTTTATTGTCTGGACTAGAGTAGGTTAGAAAAACAGGCAGAGCTCCAGAGTAGTGATCCTGTACGAAGAAGACAGTGGTTCTGACAATTTTGTTAAGGTGCTATTATTATGAATTTTATAAACATTTTAAGTTCTAATAATTGTGGGGTTCACCCACAATCTAATGGGATCATGACCTGTTATTTCATTGAGATTAGGATACACATACTTTAGCTTGTTGGTTCTTTCTGTGTCAGAAGTTAAGTTTGGGTCTTTAAATTTTTTAATTAAAAGCCCCTCTCTGTTCCTGAAGCCCTCAAATAGCCCTTCCTCATTGTGTCCTTAAAGGGAAATCCAATAATTACCCTTGGCAGTCTGACTCATCCAAGCGAAGGCACAGCCAAGCGTGGGCCAGAGATGCTCTCTGAGCATCTAACCTTTCTGAGTTGCTTATTTGGATGCTGAGAAGTTCACCTCAGGGGAAATCTAGACTGTTATTTCCCTGCAGGTGGTTTGTTCTTAGGAGACATAGCTGGTGTCTGCTTTGTATTTTTATCATCTGCGAAAGGGCAAGCCAGACCATATCCCTGCTATTAAAGGAATCCACCAGTACAGGGCAAAAAAGCCCCTGCACTCCTGAAATCTCCCTAAAGGCTGTTCTCAAGGAAGCATCACGCAAGCGGAATAGACGTTTGGTGTCTCAACCATATGTAGTGACAGATTGGTGGCTTCTCAGGGCTGAGTTTAAAAATGACTGAGAGGCAACATCATTCTGGCAGAAGCGTCATTATCCCAGAGAGAGAAAACTTCCCAATGTATGCCAGCCTTTCAAGTGAGTGAAGGATGAGTCTCCCCAAAGGAGGCATCAGGATTAAACAAATCAACTTTACCAGAGGGACTGACCAAAAGATTCTTTAGAATGCAAGCCATGCTCTTTTACCTAAGCAGAGAGAGTTAGACAAAAACAACATACAATCCGCTGGTCAGTGTAGTCCCCGCTGCTGTACGAAGTGGCCAGTGTGGAGGAGCACTTCTCGGCGTACCAGGGGGACAGGCCCTGCTGCGAGGCACTGCTGATGGAGATGGTGTAGATGCTGTCTGTGTACCCATCACAGTCACAGTTGTCTCCCTGACGCCCCCCATTCCCGGAAGCCCAGACGAAAATGGAGCCCTTTCCTTGTCTCCCCTAAAAGAAAAACCAAATGTATAACATCTGTTGCCATCTGTTTGGGACACTGTCACACCTCAATAAAAATCTCCAACAAATATACGCATGAAGTTCTCAGGGACCGTTATTTGCAAGTCTGTTTCAAGTCCAGGTCCTCCAGCTTCAGTGCTGGAAATCTCGTGAGACGTCACTGATTGAGTCACTGGGTTCTGGGTCAGCCAGTGCTTCATCTGGGCCCACTCTGGGATGGGGCTGAGCTGATGCTGTTCTCTCTTTTTTTGTGTGTGCAGATTTATAATCTGACCATTAGCACTTGCTCATATTTTTTCATTCTTCCCTTGGCTTATGTCACTACATTTGAGTCTTTGAACTTCCTCTCTTCCTTTCTGATTGAATCTTGGTTGACTAATAGAATGACGAAATCAGGCATTATTCAGATCTGCTTTGCAGCTGCATTCAAAGGGACTCTTCAGTTAAATGGAACTCATCGTCAAGGCTACTCTTTCTATGACTTCAGTTTAAGCTCTGCAGAGTTTCTACTGTTGTTTCATCCTGTGCAGAACAAGGCCTTAGACTCCTGGCAGGAATGCCATAAACCCAGTAACAGACCAATATACAACTAAGGCACACATGTTCACCAGGCACGTGCAGAGCGGGAGGAAGCCCTTTGCTATCTATATATAAGGATGCATTTTCAGAGCATTTGAAAGATGTCTGGATAGCAGTTTAATCTAGAGTAAAAATTCAAAAGCAGAAAGGACATAATAGAGAGTATTTTTAAATGTATGTTTTAAGAGTAATGAATCTCTGTTGAATGTCAGACCCAAATGAGGAAAAATCTCTTAACCCTGAACTTCCATCCCTCTGAAGAATAATTTGGCTCTAAATGCACTTCAAATTGTAAGCAACTACCAGAAATGCACAGCCATTTCTTTCCATGTAAGCTAAATGTTCTTCCCTTCTCCATATATCCACATAATTAGATTGCATTTCAGGTGGGTCTGTGTTAAGCATCTCACCTGTTTAACACCATATTCAAAAGCCTTCTGGGCTAGTCGGCCAGGCCCCTCCACAGTTTTCCCATCATCATTAGGGCCCCAGCTTGCACTGTAAATATCCACATGTCCAGGATTGAATCCAATTGAACTGGCTTCAATAGCATCAGTCACAATGCCGTCCAGCATTCTTATACCTGTAGAGCAAAACAAACAAATAAATAAGCGGATATCAGCGTGCACATGGAGAATGGCACAGATGCTCTGAATATAATTCACTTTTTGAAAGGACTCTCAAGAGTCAAAAACAGGGTAACCACTGTATGTCCCAAATGCCCACGACCGGCAGCTGTTACGCTAACAGCATAACAGATACAAGTCACGGCCTCCATAAACTCTTATCTGCTCTTTAGAGAGAACTTTATGTCCTCTGCAGCGGCCATGGGCATTGTGCAATGCGGAATGTGCTCCCTCCCTCCACAACTCCAACAGCCTAAAATTGACAGAATCGCTTTTAGAAAGGCATCAAACAGCCCTCCCCTGATGCACTCATGACTATACCACGGATGGCTTGGCCCACCCTGTGCCATACAAATGATTCTGTACTGGAAACTGTGCAGCTTGAAAAGGTCTACTCACAATAGGAAACTAACAAATAAGGAAAGGACTCTTGTTTCCAAGCACTGATTAAAAATAACCCAGAGGTCATTCTTTTATGCGTTTGCTAAGAAACATTTTCAAGGGACATGCTTCCTTTTCTTTTAAATAATCTCAAGGATGAAATCATTGCCATGGATTTTGCTCCTGAGGGGGGATTATTTTTCAGCAGGAGAAGGCAGCAGACCTTCATGCTTTCCAACAGGCTGTCACCTGCCATCAGACTCATGGCCTCTCGAGCCAGCAAGGCAAAGCACCTTAGACAGTTGGAGGCAGCTACCTGGTTACTCCTGGCTCCAGGATGATAATGCAATGGAGTACACAGACTTAGATTTTCACACTGTTATTCAATTCACAGAGGAGCATAGGTAAAAGAACATGTAATTGACACGATTAATGAAAGTCATATTTATTTTTAACATTGTTTAAAAGTGCATTTACTGGGGGTGGAATCCCAGGTCTTCTACCATACTAGCTGCATGATTTTGAGGCAAGTCACTTAACTTCTCTGTGCCTCAGTTTCTTCAGCTATAAACTGGAAATAATGACAGCTCACATGCATTGAGAATATACTGTATTCAGCTACCATTTTTCAGACCTGAAACTTATGAACTCATTTATCCTTACGACAACCATTTGAGGTGGGTCTTACAATTCTCCCCATTTTAGAGGGGGAGAGACTGAGGCCAGAGATGAACAGTGACTTGCCCAAAGCCACACAGATTGAAATTGCAAAGCCAAGACTTGAATCCCAGAAATCTGGTGCCCAAATACATCCTTTTAACTGCAGGACACACTGCCTATAATGGGTTGTAGGGTAAGTGATGGATATATAGTAGGTGCTTAAAAATGAAAATTATTATATAAAACCACACTTAGAGCTAGGCTACCGAAGGGTGGAATAATAGAAAAAAGTCAGTAGACTTGGAGTGAGAAGTCTTATGTTTTAATTCTATACTGCCACACACTGTCACCTTGAAAATCTTGCTTCTGATTCCTCCTTTAAAATATGAAGAGATCAGATGATTCTCTCATAAGCTATAGCTACTTAGTTCGTATGACTTAAAAAGTGAATTCTGTGTCTAGGTGATTACATAAATTGTACTTCTTTCACTTTCATTAAATTGACATGGCAGTTTGATGATGCTAGTATTAAAGTCATTAGGAATAACAAAATCTAAGAGCACCCTGTATTAGCAGATAGGCATCACACATGACAGGATGACTGCGTATTTGTTTTCTAAAAAGGAGCGCAGTCCCCGCGAGCCCCTGCATATCCAGTCCCCGCCACCTCCTCCGCAGGAAGTGCATCAGTGGGTTTATTCTCATCTTTCCACTGGGTTCAGCCAACTGAGGACAGCAGCAGGAGGTTGGGGGAGAGGGAGAGTGACGTGCTCATTGTCCTGAACCTCTTTGCCTAGAAATAGCTCAGTTGTTGTGATCAAGGCCACAGCTCCTGTCCAGTGATTCTCTCTGTGGCCTCAGCTCTCTCTCCAGTTTCCACTGACGCCTCCTCGTTGCTCCTGTAGGCCTAAAGGTAGTAACATCTGTCCACATTTGTTAGCCCTTGTTGGTTTCCTTGGAACTCTTGTAAATAGTTTTTTTTTTTTTTAAATCTAATTGTCCTGATGGAACTTACCATATGTTTCCCCATAAAGGCACTGACTGAAACAACTGATTCTAAATTCTTGCTATTGAAGATAACCTTTGGCTTCTTAATATAACAAGTATGTAATTCTTTTCCTTTTTAAAAACGATTCTTTGCTATGAAATGAAGAATTGCAGAATTTAGAGGCAGGGAGATTCTTCGCCTATATTTACCTCCTCCTTCTGTTCCCTGAGCAAGCACTCAAAATCAAATCATTCTAAATCAGAGCACAGAGAAAATTAGATTTGGTTTCAAAGCTAGTCAGCATTTCCATACACCCCTCCCCCATATGTATGGGTTGTCTTCAGTTATCATTTTCTAGGACTCCAGGTCCATTGGCTCATTCATACTCAAGTCATACACCAGACTTCTCATGGAGTCTGTTCTTATTCTGGTTGTTGAAAGGCCGCCTCATTTACACCAAGTGATGCAAGGCTCACATTAAAAGTGCTTTACCTCCGACTTTGGAATTATATGCAACTCCGACCCCACACTTGTGATTATTTGCTTGCATGGCAATTTCTCCTGCACATCTGGTTCCATGTCTGAGGATGAAAAATTAGAAATTACAAAACATAAATGAAGGCACACACTGGTCTTGCACATGAATCCATGCTACATGGACACATTAGCTATCTGTCTGCCTTTTTTTCTGGTTTCTTTCCATCAGCGTTAGATAAAGTGTAGGTATCACATGGAAGGCACAAATATGGGAGCCAGAGTATTTGTGTTTAAATTCTAGCTTCTGATGCTAACTAGTGGTGTGACCTTGGGTAAGTGTCCTCAAAGGGTTGTGACATCACACGAGATCCTGTGTCTGGAGTACTTAGAACAGTGGTTGGTATATGGTAAGAACCCAGTAGGTGTTAGCTATGGATAGTATTGTGAGCAACTCTGACACTCAGAAATTGTTTCCAAATAGATGGCTCTGCTCCATCTCTTCTGGTAGTGAAGTGACTTCTCACCTCCCCCCACTAGGGACTTCCTTGGATTAGGTTATCCTGGACCAGCTCTAGGAGAATATGCTAGAGTGAAGTGCCCTCTCCAGATGTCCTCCTCTCCTCTATTTATACATCAAACCAGATATATGAATTGCAGATTTTCTGGTATGAAGAGGAGTTGAGATTTTTAGAAGACATGATAGACTAATTGGAAAACTCTGATTGGGACCAGAGGCCTGAACAAGATTGGGTTTGCAGTCAGGCAAAAAGGGTAATTCATGATTTCAGAGTATTTAAAGAAAAAAATCCATTTCTAAAACAGACCAAAGCCCACTGTTAAAGCATCAATTCTGAAATTCTGGGGATAATAAATTGTTTTTTCCCCACCACCATCCTGACCCCAGGAAAGCATGTAAATCAAGAGAACTTTAATGTAAATCTGTTTATTTTATGACCCTATGGCATTGTGCAAGCCCCCGGGGGCATGGTGAAGGGTGTTGGGGCCTTGGAGGAGCTGTTCCCCAGACCTGCTGACATGAAGAAGAGAAGAAGGGTTAGCACAGAGCAGCTCTGTCAGCCAGCTGCCTTTGGAACCCATCACTCTAGCCATCTATTAATTTAGCCTGGTAAGGAATATAAAAATCCAAAATTAAGTGGGTCATCTAAAAGAATCGTTTCACTTATCTGGTTTTCCTGAAGTACCAGAGATGATTTCCCACTAAATGATATTCCTGTTTCTTCCAAATATTGGATAGGAATCCTGAGTCAAAATAATATAAAATTATCTTTAATTCTCAAGGTCTTTCCTAGTGTAGTGAACATCTGCTTCTTTTTGTTTCCCAGAATTTTCGCCTTTTGGAAGTGGTGCTCCCTCACTTCTTGTGATTCTTTCTATTAGGGGGCTCTTTCTCCCAGGCAGCTATCAAGGATTAATGCAGATTCTCGGGAAGTGATGTATATTCTTTCTCCAGAATCTTCAGCTTTTAAGTTCCATCTGAGCCATACAATCTCCTTGCCAGATAAGATTCTGTTGAGAATGAAGCTAAGTTGAGGAAAGCAGCACACAGAGTTGGAGATGAAGTGTTTGGTGTCTTGATGGCATATTAGTGAGCTCCTGGATTTTACAGTGCTTCTGAAGCTAGAGCACCTCTTGAGTGAAAGTGTTTTTTTTTAATCCTCATCCAAGGACATTTTTTCATTGCTTTGAGAGAGAGAAGGAAGGAAGGAAGGAAGGAAGGAAGGAAGGAAGGAAGGAAGGAAGGAAGGAAGGAAGGAAGGAAGGAAGGAGAAAAAAAAGAAGAAGGGAGGAAGGGAAAGAGAAAGACAGAAAGAGAGAGATAGAAAGAGAAAGAGAGAAAAGAAAAGTAAAGTAACAAAAAGAAAAGAAAAAAGATGCAAGAGAGAAATAGTAAATCAGTTGCCTTCTCATACACACCCTGACCGGACCAAACCTGCAACCTGACCAGGAATCAAACCTGGGATCTCTCAGTCTATAGGATGATACTCCAACCAACTGAGCCACACTGACCAAGGCTGAAAGTTTGTTTGTTTTTAATCCCCAAATTACTTAACTTTGTTAGGATTCTCTCTCTTGGAACTGAAGCTATCCTGACCAGTACATCCATTTTCTAAGAAATATGTTCATAATAAATACGTAGAAGGCAACTTCTGTGATGGATTAGCCCTCTTTGCCCTTCCAGGAGAAATTCAGTGGCCATCCTCTGGGAAATGTACTCCCAAAAGTCACCAATGTCTCCATTTCCATCTAAATAGTATGGGAGACAGGGCCCAGGGCAGCAAAATCTCTAGGCTGAGCCAACAGAATCAACCTGTTAGAAAACATCCCCAGCATTGTGCTTCTGTCCTAAAAATGAAGCTATGTGGCAGGACCTATTACTTATCTCTCTTTATATACTGAGGGCTATTTTCTTGAAAAGTGAGGTGGGAACGTGCTACAAATAGAGGACGATATTTTTTCCTTCTCTTATCCTCAGTTCCTGCCTTGGGAAAAAGGAAGACTCTATCAAAGTGATTCTCTGTCATTCTTTATAGACCTGTAGCTTTTTTTTTTTTTGCTTTCCTTAAATCAGGCTCTGAGATCAAATAACCCTCTATCATCTTAGAACAATGGTAGTAACTGGCATTTAAACATAATGATTTTTAGAAAATTATTCCACAGGATAGTTTAAAGACTACTATTATACTGGTTAAAATATCCCTGTCACATGTGTATTTAACTAGAGAAATAATCTGTAATTGGTATTGAAATACTGAATACAGATTCATGCCAGCCTAATAGTAAGAGTTATCACACTTTTAAGAATTATTTAGTGATTCCTCTTTTGCTTTGCAGAGGAGAATTCAAGTGCAGCTTCTATTAACCTCATTTAAATGGTAATAAAAAACAGCAGTAGCACAGGTAGTTCAGAGCAATAATTCCCTGGGGTTGGGAGATAATAGGTATCTGTTATAAGACTAGATAAAATGGGGCCATTCACTTTCCAAATCTGAGGGATTTCTGACAACATACTTGAAGGATAATTCTGTTTTTTTTATAATACCTTTTGCTAAATGATGAAGCAGCTACTACCTTTTTGGTTGATAGTCAGGAGGCCCCTGAGAGATAGTTGCTTATTATGTAATTTTTGGAGACCAGATTCTGAACTGGCTAAGAAAACTGTCTTGTCTCAGTTTCTGCTCCTATCTATTGCATGGTATAATTCTTGTCATGCTGATTTTTCACTGAAAAGAGGCCTACCTTAGGTGGTAATGAATGAGAAGCCTTGGTCGTTGTCGTCATAGCATCATCATCATCATCATCATCATCATCATAGCAAACACTTAACTTTTTTTTATGTGGCTGGAACTATCCAAGCCAATTACATGTATCAACTCATTTAGCCCCCATGACAACCCAGTGAAATAGATACTGTTTATTATCTCTTTTTCATAGATGATAAAACTGAGGCACAAAGAAGTTAAATAATTTGCTCAAGGTCACTTAACTATTAAGTGGTAGATCTAATGTTTGATCTAAATGTAGCTGTGAAGTCTGTACTCTTTTAACTGTCTACTCCACACTAACTAGACTATGTGGGAGATCCATGGCAGGCTCTGCTCTGAAGCTCGGAATTTTCAGGCACAAAATAAGCACAATTATATAGGCTGCTTTCTTAGGGCACTTTGGAGCTCTGTGAGTTGGAAGAATTATATTGAATTGGCCAAAAAGTACATTTGTTTATTTTTTTCCCATAAGGTGGCTCTATAGAGCTTAGTTCTTTAACTTCATTTGAAACAATTTTGTTAGATAATATTGTGATAGCTGTCATATCAGCATGCATTTTAAAAAGACAACAAAATTAGTGAATTTTTGTCTAGCCATTTTAATACTGAAGACGGAAGAAAATATACAACATTTTGGGCATATTATCCTTTATTATTTCAAGAAAGGTAAAAATTCAACTGAAACACAAACAAGGATTTGTACAGTGTGTAGAAAAGGTGCTGTGACTGATAGAATGTGTTGAAAGTGGTTTGTGAAGTTTCATGCTGGAAATTTCTCACTGGACAATGCTCCATGATGGGGCAGACTAGTAGAAGTTGACAGCAGTCAAATCAAGACATTAATTAAGCACAATCAACATTATACCATGTGGGAGGTAGCTTACATATTCAAAATATCCAAATCAATAAAGTTATTGGTGAAAATGGAAAATGTTTATTTTGTGGAAAAAACTAAATTGACTTTTTTGGCCAACCCAATATTATAAACACTGTGTTTATTATAACAGTGTGATGTGAGATTTCCCCTTTTGGGAGAGGAAGAGGGAAGTCTGAGTTCCCTGTCTCATAAGTAGAATAACACTGGAGAGCATCAGTTCACCAGATATCCACCTAACATGTAGCCATCACCCACATTGGATCTGGGGGCTGACACCTCCAACTAACAGTTTCCTATGCTGCACCCACATGGCTACAAGCATTTTCCCTCTTACTCTTGTCCAAGGGGGTGAGGTGAGGGTTGTCATTTTTACTTAATTTCAAGAAGGGTGCCCCTTTCTTTCAAGCAATTACTGCCATTTTCTTAGGAAGTTCTTTCCAGGAGAGTAGGAAATGGATGTCCTGTCACCCACTTTAAGAAACAAAATAAAAAATAGAGGCAGAGAGGGGTGATGTCCTCATGACACTCTCTGTGCTGGTAATCTGCAAAGCCATGACTGCCAGCCAGGCTGACACCACAGGGCTGCACTCCACAAGAGTGGACATTGCTCCCCGTGCACCGCCCTGGCTCGGAAACAGCTGAAAGTTTATCTGGGGACTGTGCTCTAAGTTCCTTAGACATCCCACTTTCCTTCAAGGGCTCTCCCTCACCGTTCTTGTTATACCGATACTGGAATGTTCCAATCTCTACTGCATTTGCAGTTAACCCCGTTAAGAAATGAACCTTAGAAAAGTCAGTGGCACTGAAAGAAGCAGTATTTTGGAACACTCCCCAAGCCTCCTCTTCTCCCCAAGGAAGAAATATACACCCAGAAGCTGAAGCCAAGTCCATGAGCCCAGCTGCCCTTCCGGGGGTTTGTTGGCCTTCTGGAGGGGGCACCATCCAAGAAACGACTTTAGGTCAATTACAGCATCAGCCACGTGGGAATTCTGAGAGAAAGAGAGAATAAGGGAGAGGAAATAAAGGAGAAGGAAAGTGAAAGTGAGGGGGAGAAAGAGAGAACGAACTTGATTGGTCTGAGTTGGGTCATAGTCCAAGAGAGAGAAAGCCATAAGGAGAGCAAAGGGAAGCAGTATATGTGGCATCCACAAAGAGCTTTTTGTTGCTTGCTGTTTCCACCCCCACTTGTAAGCAGCAAGCCCTAATTTTTCCTTGGCTTTGATCTGTGTTAGTGTAAATCTCTTCTGGGTGAAGCGAATGAAGAGGGACGTGTGAATGTCTCCTTGAAGTCTGAGATATGTCACTGTGCACAAAGATGAGCTGCAGGTGGGCACAGAGACCTGAGGCCACATGCCTGTACCTACAGGATGAAGCTTCTTTGGGCTTAGGGGAGGTTGAACAGTCTTGCCTCTGGGTCTTTATTTGGCTGCTTGCTTTGGCAGGTCTGGCGCTTGGCCTCCCTATCAGAATTAATTTAGGAGTCAGAAGTCATCCTCTCTTTCTTCCTTTTAGTGTTAGAGTACCCAGCAGGAGCTCTGGAACAGGTTGCTAACTAGTTCAATGCCCCAGAGACTCTGTTGAATTTGAGAGCCAGGCCTCGATCTACCTTTCTCTATCTGGCATCAGGCCATACTCTTCTACCGAAACTGGTGAGCATGGCTGTGGCTGCCGTAGCAAGTTGTGGGGATCTGTTAACTTGGGCATCTCTATTTCTTTTCATGACTAACATTAAACACGTTGCTAATGGTAGAAGGTTCATAGCAGATTTGGAGGGAAAGAGGGCGTGCTGAAGGTTTTTAGTCTTTATGTCCCAAACCTTCATTCCAAAGCTATAACTATTCAGTAACATTTGAAGGGAGTGTTTTATAATATAAGAAGAGACTTTAATTGAAATATGGTTCTATAAGCCAAAAAGAACATAAAAAGAGTTTGGGTTTCTGTTTTAAAAGCTGCAGAATATCGCGGTGTGGATGTTGTGCAGGAACATTTCTGAGAACTCAAATAAGATAAAAGCATTTCAAAGTATTAACCCCCCTCTCCCAGTCCACGTTTACTCACTTGTTCTCATTTGTGGGATCATATCGGGGAAATGGATCATGGTCGTTATCATTAAAATCATAGCTAGCCTCTGGATCCTAAAGGGACAACAAAAATAACACTGCAGCATCATAAAAATGAAACAGCACTTCCCAAGCCTGCTACCCTATCCTATTTTCATCCAGGCTGAGAGCTTGAAAGTCTGCATGTCAGGGTTTCTGGGCCTGTGGCTGATCATTTATTACACCCATAATCCAGGCAGAGACAGAAGAGTGAGCCAGCATCTAATTCTCAGTGAATGTCACCAAACCAATAGCTCACGGAGGCTCTTAGGATGTTAAAACCAGAGGAATCAATTCAGTTAATTCAACCATATCATGTCTGAAATGAATAAACTGAAGTTCAGAGAAGTTGAATGACTTAACCAAGCAACAAAGCTTGTTAGCAACACTTTGACACCCTTGTCTCTTATGAATACAGGTGCAAAGAGGTGGCTCAGGCCCACAATGATCTCTTTTGGCTTCCCCAGTTATACTAAGTAAACTCGTAATTTAATTAAAGAGGGTGTGCTTAATATTTTACACAAGCTTCCAGGCTCCACCCACTTTCCCAATGATATTGTTACACCTGACATCTCCCACATAGGAATTCTATCACTGCTATTGCCACTTCTCTGTATTTTCCATATCTTTTAATACTTCCTACGCTTTATCTCTTCTTTTCCTTCCTTTTCCCTTTAGGTGCAGAAGGTGGATGAGTGGAAAGGATGAGAGAAAGATAAGGGCAACCTTAAAGATGAAACACTGACCTAAATAAAGGCCCAAGATATTATGGAGAGCTTCAAAAACAATAAAGTAAATACTGTTCATTTACTTATTTCCCATTTCTAATAAGCTTTTCTTTTCTCAGCTTGTCATTTTGGCACTGTTCATTGTATATTTTGAATTTGCATGTAAGGAATCACATTCGTGTAACTTCACAGTGTGAAAGGTACTGACCCATAGGGGTGTGAGGAGGAAGACTGAAAAGATCTCAGGCATCAGACTTGATTTGTTTGCTTTCATGCTGCCAGTTCTGAGTGGTACAGAGTCTGAATGGCTTTTAATCATTTAGTTGGTGTAAATGCCTTTTCCCATTACCAATGCACATGTTTTTGTACAGTCCTTAACTCCACTAAATTCTTTCAATGCTCCCTGATACAATGAGTTCATATGGGCTGGTGGGGAGGTGAGCAAAGTGGCGATACCTTGGCCCATCATTCTATGGGCCAACATCCAAGCATCCTCCTACTTCAGGAAAGGAAAGCCCAAACTGTGTCTGTGTAAACAACTACTTAAGTTGCAAGTCATGGGAAGGTCCAAACTCACGTAATTGGCATAGATGTCTGTGTGATTCCACTCCAAGCCGTCATCCAGTACAGTGATAACAACTCCTTTGCCTGTGATACCTTTTTGCCAAACAGGTATCACATGGAGATCCAGCTTGGGCAGGGATGCAATCATCCTGGTATCTTGCTGGTAAAGGAAAACAAGCATTGGTAAAATCATCATGGACTTGCTACAAAATGAGAACTGAAGCCACAGTCTGGGGATCCATCTTTCTTTTTCCCAGGGCCATTCTCCTCTTTAGAAGAAGGAATTAGGTGAAATAAAAACAAAGTTGAGGGTAGGGCCAAATGAATTATCAGAAAGCTGCTCTTTCCCCAGTTGTTCCAATGGAAAATCACTTAAAAGAATGAATCACCCTTGTCCCTTCCCTTTGAGCTGCATGGCTTCACAGAAGCAGTTTGTCCCAAGTTTTTTTTCATATATAATGACATGCTTGAGCTTTTCATCCACCTGAGCTTTATTGGATATCCTAGGTTTCCATCCCTCCCCCCCCCCCCGCCCCAAATCCTAAGCATCTGTTGCCACAATACATCTACTTTATATGGTCTGGTTCAAAGTCATTTGTGGATGTTTTTTGTTAATTTTCTAAAAGAAAAAGCAGAACCTGGAATGCCCAGGAGGTTGTGGTCTCACGAGGACTTGCACTTTAACTGTCCATTTACAAATATGAGTGGTTTAGAGAGCAAGTAGCTATGAGAAGAGTTTTGGAGTTTTCTTTTTCCAACAGCATTTCCAATAGTTACATCATGTATGGCTGCTGTAGAGAAGATTGCACAGTAAGAGAATGCAAGTATGAGAAGCATCTGAGAGATGCATTAGAAGAGAACCAGGTTTCTGGGATCAATAAGGAATTGATAAATAACAACAATCAAAAGTGTTAGTGAACAGACCACCCCCTGGCTTATGCTCTTCAGAAACAGGTGGGGGGAAATAACACCTTACTAACCAAAATGAATCTGAATTACAGGAGGTTGGAACTATACACAGATTGTTGGGTAAAGCCAGGGAAGAAGGCCTTTATGTCAGCCACAGGAATAATCATAGAATGTGGTTAAGAGTAAGGCATCTGGAGCTATGAATTATGACCCCACCACTAGTAACCATGTGATTTTGGCAAGTTATTCAACTTACCAATATGTCTGTTTCTTCATCTGTTAAATGGGCATAATTGCAATGTCTACAACGTAATTTTGTAAGAATTAAGTTAATGCATGTCAAAGACTTAGAATGGTATTTGGCACACTGTAAATGCACAGTGCATAGCTAATGAGTCTCTTCTGCAATGAGCAAGTAATGCTTAGGGTAAATGGAATACTACATGGCCATAAAAAAGAAGAAAGTTTATGCTTTGCGACAGCATGTATGGACCTGGAGAACATTATGCTAAGTGAAATAAGCCAGTCAGAGAAAGACAAAAAAGATTTCACTCCTATGTGGAATCTAATGAACAAACTGAACTAACAAACAAAATAGAGACAGACTCATAGATAGAGAGCAGGGTGATAGTTCTTGGGGTGGGAGTTTAGGGAGTGGAGGGATTGAGCAAAAAGAAAAAAGGATTCATGGACATGGACAACAGTGTGGTGATTGTAGGGGGAGGGGAATATAAGGAGGATAAATGCTAATGGAAAATACAATAAAAATAAAACATTAAATAACAGAGTCAAAAGGAATGGATCCCCTTCCCCATCCATTATGCAACAAACATGACTTAGCTTATGGATGTCCTCAAAATTTATCTTTTATAATATTCTTAAAACTTTTATTAACATATATTACTAATAGAGAGGCTTTACATTAAAACAGAAGGGAGAATACTTTGCAGGCAAGCAGGAACACTTATAATTTCTCCACTCAAAACCCACCTTCTAATAAGGACTTGGTAACTATCTTAAAGGTAGAGTGGTGTGCAAGTGTGGACATCTGCAAATATTTTTTGTCTTTTCTTGTGTTCACTACTTGAGCTTTGTTAAGAAATTCTTACCTGTAAGCCTCTAAGAATTGACACTCAGAGGTTTATATACTGAATCATGTTTACTGTATTCTTTGGGTAATTTAAAGGGTTCTGACCAAATGTGATTTTTGAAACGAATACTACTTTGGAACCCCTAACTTGCAAGACATGATCCTTCTGCATTTACTCTAGGTAAGCTTAAGAAGAAAAGAAGGCAGCCCTGACTGGTGTGGAACACCAGCCCTAGTTTGCTAGGCATTGTCCCATGAAGCAAAATATCACCAGTTGGATTCTCAGTCAGGGCACATGCCTGAGGTGTGGGGTTTGGTCCCTGGCCAAGGTGCATACAAGAGGCAACCAATCAATGTTTGTCTTTCACATTGATGATGTTTCTCTCCCTCTCTTTCTCACTCCCTTCCCCCCTCCCTTCCCCCCTCACTAAAAGTAAATAAATAAAATCTTATAAAAAGGAGACAAGAAGGCAACAACCCCTCCTCTCATAGTAGCTGAAGATCTGTATTTCAGCCATCCTCACCCAGTAAAGGAGAAGATCCAGATCCTGGAATGTCCCATCAGCCCGAATCTCCAAGTAACATAGCCCTCTGCTGAGTTTCCCATCATTAAAAAAAACTATCTACTGTGCAGATGTAACAAAATAAATAAGCAGGGTCCTACACAGTCCTTCTGTAGGGACTTACCAAGTACCACTGCTGATTCCACATGGGATCATTGAAGAGATTTAGTGCTGAGTCTGTCAGAATGGAACGTTTACTTCTCTTTTTTTCATACTGTTGTTCAGCCCATATCACCTACAAGAAGTTTTATAGCAAGAAAAATGAACAGTCAAGTAGCCACCTCTGCATAGTCATCTTTCCTTCAGTACCTTTCCTATTAGAGTTCGGGCAGCTCCACAAAGTTTCTGTTTAGCTACAGATCACACTGGCAGCTCGGTGAGAAGGGATTGCTCACTGGGGAGATGAACATTTCCTCTATCACAGAAAAGTGTACCTTTAGGGAGAGGAGAGGAGTCAGCGAACTGGTGATTGCCTCTAATTATTTGCACTGTGATTACAGTGGAAATAAAAGTTCAGCCTGCTTTCATCAGCAAATGGACCATAATATCCATTTTTTATATTGAAGTTCCAGGGCTCTGTGTCTGAAAATTTGTCCATTTTCATGGAAGGAGTCAACAAGCTAAGAGATACTGAGACTGTTGTTATGTTGCTCTTACAGCTTAATTTCTCTTTCTTTCTGCACAAAAGGTAGAAATTGCAAATGTTATACAAGACAGGAAAGGTGCTATGTCTTTGCAAATCTGAAACCCTGGCTCCCCTGTGCTTTAACCTCCTGCTTAAGAGTATTTAATATAAGAAACAGATCCAGGGTGATGAATGAGCACTACTGGCCATGCACGCTTACCATTAATTTAGTCTCATGTATTATGCAAAGAGATCTGACAGTACAAAAATTACCTGTCCCACATTTACAGCATAATCCTATTATACTTAAGGTCCTGAGAGGCTGAGGGGTTGCCTTGTGGTATATTCATTATGAGATAATACCCTGCTCTTCTTTTGCTGGTCAACATGACTGTCTCCTATCCTAACACGTGAGGACAGTCCAGTGTGTGGAAGGGTATTGTCAATGTGAGGATACTTATGAATCAGATGCAAAAATAAAAACTGAACAATAATTTGCAATTAAAGGATAAAACCATCTACTAACACTGAATTTTCAATTAGAAAAACACTGCAAACCTATTTTAAATATTAAAGGGACTCGAGAGCTAGAAATTAGTCACTATAATTTATTTTTAAAGTGCTTGTATTTTCAAGCTTAATTGGGCTTAAAATACCCAATATCTGGAGTACAATGCCTGTATCTGAGTCTGTCTTTGAAAGTGAACTGCTAGGGAACAAGTACTGATTTTTGAGGAAGAGAGTAATGTACAGGTAGAGATTTCATTAATGGTCTTGTAAAAATGGAGGATTGCTGCATTTCAGAGGGTTAATCTGAAGGATATTATTGCCATTAATAGAAACAATGAAATGACAATCAAAAGCAATTTTTAAAAGTGGAATATAAGAAGAGGCACTCTGCCTCCTGATCACATAAACATCCAATTATTGAATACAGTGTTGTAATCAGCGTCATTGACTCCAAATCCCGTATTAATCTCTATGAGAGCAGACCAAATTGAACAGAAGAGATTGGTGGTGTCTTTATATTATGCATGTAATAGGTATAATGTACTTAATTATAAATAATCCTTTTCATTTGGTAAGATCATTAAAGATCACCTAGTCCAACATTCCACTCAAGCTTCTATGGGTTCTAGGATTTTTTCCCTGCAATTAATTTATTCTGTGGATAATTTTATAGGATCTTAAAGACTTCTTTTCTTATAAAGTTATGTTAGAGAGTAAATTCTTAGCTCTTCTTCATTATTCCTTGAGATAGCTCCCAAAAATCCACTATTAAGGAAATATCTAAAGAATGGAACTGAGGCATCTGTCCATTTTAGTGTGATTAGTCTGAGTAGTAACAATAGTTAGGTGTGCTCCACTCTGTCCAGTTTTGCCCTGTGAAGATAAGAAGGGAGGTCAGCTTGATTCCTTGGGCATTGATGTCAGGCATACATTTAGTAAATGAGGGAAACTCCGTTATTTTACCCAAGGACTAAATCTAGCCAAAGTCCCGGAAGTTGGCCTACTTTCCAGAGCCCACAGATAACAAACCATCTGTCTTGGGATGGTGAAGGAGAGACTTCACTGCACCAGGACCTTTTAAAGTAGTGTTCTGGGCTTCTGATTTGGTTTACTTGAGTAAAAGCAAGCAATGGGCATGTATGAGCTGTAGGTCACTGTTTGTGGTCCTGGGACAGCATTCTTTGTCTAGGTATGGTATTTTTTTTTCAGATTTTATTTATTTCTAGAGAGAGGGGGAGGGAGGGAGAAAGAGAAGGAGAGAAACATTCATGTGCCAGAGAAATATAGATTGGTTGCCTCTCACACGTGCCCAACTGGGGACCTGGCCTGCAACTCAGGCATGTGCTGACTGGGATTTGAACAAGTGACCCTTCGGTTCATAGGCCAGTGTTTAATCTACTGAGCTATATCAGCCAGGGCTGATTGTTTTTGTTTCTGTTTATTTTTTTTTACATTTGAACAGTATTAATGCAGATCTGGTCAGTCCCTACCATAATAATCTCTCATTATTTTTTAAATTCTATACTTGCAGAACAAATGAAATAGCAAATTATTTCACAGATTTTGAATTCCACAAATTTCAACAGTTGTATTACCTTTCTTTCACTTAATGCTTTACTTTCTGGGAAGTTGATAGGTTGTGTTCTATCTCCTACAAAGCTTCTATAATTCTCTAGATTGTCCCAGGCAACAGAAATTATGTATTCAGGCCCTGTTGGTGTGGCTCAGTGCATTGGACATTGTCCCACAAACCAAAATATTGCTAGCTGGATTCTTGGTTAAGGCACTTGCTTGGGTTGCAGGCCAGGATCCCAGTTGTGGGCACGTGAGAGGCAGCCCGATTGATGTTTCTCTCCCTCTCCCTGCCTCCCTTCTCCCTTTCTAAAAATAAATACATACAATCTTAATAAATAAATCATGTATACAGATATCAGGCCAGCCAGGATAAATTCCATCAGTTTGCACATTTTCTAGATTAGGCAACATTGTTATGCAAATTGTAACACTTCCAGTATAATCAACATTTCTATCCATATGTTTGCTCACCTTAAAAACAGACTTCAAAAATCAATAAATATACTATACACACATTCAAATTGTCCCCATATTACTTACCTATATTCATTCTAGAAATATCCTGCTGTTGCCTAATCATTGAATATGTATTCAAACCAGGATAAAGAAGAGATCAAATGTTTTGGATCAAACAACATAATACTTATGAAAACATCCTTCTTGTGAAGACATGGATTTAAACCTCCCTCATAAACACTGGTTTTCTATACAACCAAACTAAATATATAGAAAGAGCAGAATGTTGTTTTCAATTATAGTAAAATGTTATTAAAAGCAGGGTTCATATATTATATTTCTTTGGCATCCACACATCAGATACTGAAGTGCTTGGTACATAATAGGCATAAAATAAAAGGGCGTTGATTGATTGCATTGTCACATATTTCAATTAGTGCTGCCACTTTATTTTCAATATTTACTTTCCTGCCCTTAGACTGGGATTGTGAGCTCATGTTATTTATACATGTAATCGTAGTTAGTTCAATCCAATCCAGTTACTTTATGTGCATTTACAACCCTATGGAAATAACAAGTAACACACAGATAAACAATTGTGATCACAATAAAGAAGAATCGCATTTGTGAGGGGCTCTTGCTCTTGCCAGCAGTCCTGGAGGAAGCAGCTTAGGCAGGTGGGTTTGAGGACAGGGCTCAACACTTACACGGTCATCATCGGATAATCTCTTAGTGATGTGAAGGGCACTCCTTCGAGACCTTCGGGGATGGTTTTTATGTCTGAATAAGTAATGATTTTCAAGTGATCCAATCTAGAAAAGAAAAAAATTAAAATTAAAATCTACTTTTCTGACCCATATATAAAATAAGTACATATGGGTCAGATTGAAACCCAACTAAATTAGAGACAGCCCTATCAAGCCCATTCCTTGTACTCGAAGTTAAGGGTTTTCCTCATGAGGAAGATTCCGATAGAAGCCTTCCTCTCTTCTTAGTGTGTTGAGGGGATGAGCCTCATGAAATGATCATTCGGGCTCCCATTATCCTTGGGGGCTGGCAGTGCTCTGTTTCACAAATTTCAGAGGAACGCCACTTGTTTTTCTATGTGACAATATTGTATGGGTAGACATTTGTTTTTTAAAAGTCAATTTTATCAAATTCATTTTTTCAGAGAACACTGATATGCAGAAAGCAGGCAAACCTTTTGGGTACTATATGGTCAGGGCCACATTCAGCTAAAACAATTTGTTGTTGTTATAAAGTGTAATCACTGAATCCATAGTGATAATTCTTTTTTTAAAAGATTTTATTTACTTATCTTTAGAGGGGAAGGGAAGGAGAGAGGGAGAGAAACATCAATGTGTGGTTGCATATCATGGATCTCCTGCAGGGAACCGGCCTGCAACCCAGGCATATGCCCTGACTGGGAATTGACCCGCGATTGTCTGGTTTGCAGGCCCACACTCAATCCACTGAGCTACACCAGCCAGGGCTCATAGTGATAATTCTTATAAGCTACCAGTAGTGATCATTAGACTTTTCACTAGTTAAGGCTTTGGGGGGAAAATCAGCATGCCACCCTTAGGACAGGTGTAGACTTCTCTGGGTGGTTCTGGCCGGGTAGCTTAGTTGGTTAGAACATAATCCTAATATGCCAAAGTAATGGGTTCCATGCCCAGTCAGGGCACAAATAAGTAGAACAACAAATGAATGTTTCTCTCTCTCTCTCCCTCACTCAACTAGAAAAACATCAATAATAAAACAAACCTTTCCTGGGTGACTATCAACACCTTTGGTCCATTTAGAACTATATTATTTTTTTAAGCTAGTGTCTCTATCAAAATAATACTTAATTTGAAGCCCTGTATTTCTTTTTAAATTAAAAGATAAGCAATTGACAATGGGTTATTTCTGAAGAATTTTATTTTTAAAATTGCTGGTTCTCATCACCTAGAGAATCTTTAAATAGAGATCCTTAGGCCCAGCTCAAAGCCTGAACCTCAGGGAGTAAATCTGTTGTAAGTCTTGATTGAGTTGGGGAGGAAAAAAAAACACTAGTTATAAAAAAGATCACCAGTGCTTAGCTCTGTTCCTGCGATCAAACTGGTCTTCGTCCCCCTCAATCCTAGCTTTATCCTGAGGCCTTAAAGAGCTCAGGATAGTGATGCTAAATTAGTGTGAACACAAAGAAAAATAAGCAGAACCAGGAAAGCATTGTTAGCTTTTTTTTTTTACAAAGAACTGTTATTTTTAAAATGTTTGTTAGTAATGCCATTTTAAATGGAAATGCCTAGAGAAAATTTAGCATATGCAAATGATGTGTGAATAAAGCCTGTGACTATGTCATCCCTTCCTGGAAGATCCTACCAAGAATACTGGCTTACTGTGTTTTAGTTTGTGGACTTATATTTTGAAAGGCAATTCCCATAATGAATGGCCCAGGTTTGATACATGCCTGGGGCTAGTAGGAGAGAAAAGGAAGTAGGATTTACCTTTTGACCTCTTCCACAATCTCCTTCCACACAGTTACTAGTGTTATTTCAAAGTGTTGTTCAAAGGATAAAGGATTAAGTCCCTAGCTCCCCCCCCCCCCCCCCATAGGATACAACAGATTTCCATGCTGCCCAGGGCACACTTCAGTACAATTCCACCCACTATACACTGTCTTCATTAGATACTCACGATTCCTTTCAGTTGCTAAATTACTACTGGGCAGCTTTCTTTATAGATCCCTGTTTCCCACAAGCTGTTTTCTATGACTGGAGTGCCTTCTCCAATTTCGTCATGTTCCCCCATCAGCCTTGGACTCTTCTTCCTAAACACTGTGCAAATGTTCCCTCCTTCCTACTGTCTTCTTTAACCCCTCCCCAATTCCCTTCCATTTCAATCCTTCAATAAAAAAATATGGAGACTCTGGGTACAACTATTACTGACACAAATTACATGCAGTTACAACCATTTGCTTCTAAACCACCTTCTAGATTCTTGATTTTTTTTGAAAGCGACTCTTCCTCCTATTAGTCCTCAGCCCTTGACACAGCGACTGGCACAGAATAAGGTTCGAGCCAAAGCAAAAGTCTTGATCTGCTTCTGGGACACAGAGATCAATCTGTGTACTGACTTTCCCGTGGGGCATTTCAAAGAGTTTTGCTCATAAAGTTGGAGAACGAAGCCTCTGGCAAACGATAGCGCATTCCCCAGTGGATTCGATCTATGGCACAGCCTCCACCCACACCGATTACTCATCTGTGACTTCAGCCGCATCTCAATCACCACCTCCAGAAAAAAAAGGAAGAAAAAAAAAACCGCGCCAAAATGTTTTACAACTCCCTCCTCCCCCGCTTCAACTTCCAAGTCAAGGGGTGAAGGCTGATTCTAAGCCAAGGAAAAGGAAAAAACTTACATTAGAACTCACAACCCCTGGGTTCCCACGGACTTGCACCAGCTAAGCAGCCCTCCCCCTGGTCAAAGCCTTAAAGCCCCTGCCCTGCCCGCAGCTATGTATTAATCCAGCCCTCACTTGGAGGCAATAGTTTCCCTCACACGCTGAAACCCCAGGGAAGCAATTATGCATCTGGCTGAGAAACAAGAGAGAAATAAATCCTTTCCCCACAGTCAGTTCTGCAGTTTGACCCTCCGGGGCGGGTACGCTGACCAAGCAAAGTTGTGAAGCTTGGACTTTGCAAGTTTTTGGTGAAAATCTAGGGCTCCAGATAGAGGCGTGAAGAGTTGGTTTACGTCCTTTACCCACCTCTTCTCCCGCTGGCTCCCCAGGCCACCCCGCGGGGGCCCCCCAGCCTCTGGGTCGCTAGGACCAGCCGTTGGCGCTCTTCCAATGCCCTGGCCGCGCCCCCAGAGGCTTCCAGCGGACACCTCCGAGCCCATTTAGTCCCTTCCATCAGGACGCGGGTCTGATGCTGCCATATTGAAAAGAAGGAAACAGCTCCTGACGCAGACTAGCTGAGTCCCAGGGGACAGATCGCACACTGCGTCTCTGGGGGCGCCTGGTTGGTAGCAGCCTGCGTGTCTCTCAAGTTCTGTGAATAAGCGTGGAGGGATTTTTCTTCAAACCGTGCGGGAACGGATTTCAATTCCAGAGCGGACAACAGCAAGAATAAGCTCTACCCAGCTGCAACGGCTTCGTTCAGCCTGCCTGCGCCCAGCCCAAACAATAAATAATGCAAACCTTCTCTCTTCCAAGCGTTCTGGCGCCAGAGCTGAAGAAGCTACTGCTCTTTGCCACAGGGCTCAGGGGAGTGCAACCTGGGGCTCACACTTGGGAGATCGTGCTCCAGTCCCGCCAGTCCCCTGGGGCCCCAGAAAGTTTCTTGAAAGTGCAAACTCTTACCTGACCCAAAAGATCATAGCCCAGCTCCTCGGCTATGGCCGAGGCTGCTTCTGGTCCCCCAGGGATCTCCGCCGCCCATTCGTTCACAAACTGCCTCTTCGCTTTTACACTGTTCAGTGCACACCAAGTGCAAAAGAGAACGAAAGCAGTACACTGCAGAGTCCAGGCTCTTCGCTCCATGGCTCACACTCGCTTGCACAGAAGTGGGAAGAAGAGGGGGAAAGAAACAAGATAGGAGAAAAGCCAGAAAGATGCACTCCTTCCACCCTCGGGCTCTGGACCACTTCTCGCCCCGGTTGTTCTGCAAGGAGATAGGAGGGACGCGAGGAGAGGCTGGGCGGTGGCGAGCGCTAAGTGCAGTTCTTTCGTCTCCCGGCTGAGTGGAGCCCCAGCCCTTCCCAGCTGGAATGGAAATGAGTGTTTACACGTCAAATCTACGAAAGCCATCTCTTGACGTCAGATCTACCTGGACTAAGATCTGGATGGTATTCCTGGCGGGGTGGAGAAGCGGCTAAAATAAGCAGCAAGGGATTATGAAAAGGAAGGAACCGTGTGCTGGGATCAGTTAACTCTGTCCCTGTCGTAAATTCTGTAGCTGTGAGAGACACCTTCACGTCTCAAAGAGAAGTGCCCCCACTTGAATGTAACTACCAAGAACCAGAGGCTGGGAGTGCAGCACACCTTCCCTCCCTTTTGTCCGTTTTCTTTATATTTACTTGATTATCTACTGTGTCGGGGAAAGGAGGGAGAGGGATTCTTATAATGGCCCGGGGGATGCCAACCAGCACCTGCTGTTAAAGAGCAGGTCTCGTAAATCTTTTAAATCTGATAAAGGCTGGAAGGCGCCAGGAGGGAAGCTTCTGCTCCCCAGATTCTGATCTAAATTGCCTAAGAAAATGAGCACTTCTGGAAGACAATGTTAGAGCAACGTGTATTTTAAATTTGTATTTAAAATACAAATGTATTTAGAAATGTATTTTTAACCCATTCAAACCACCTTAATTAACAAGTTTACTTTCTTCTTTCTTTCCTCCGTCTCAATTTCAGGCAGACAATATCTAAAATTCTATTCCAGACATTGCAGAGCCCAGTATCACCCAAATGATTAGGCACACGATTTTTTAAAAATAAAATTATTTTCTTATTCATCAGTCGGGGGTGGGGGGTCAAGGGACCCAAATGCTGTTGTGTTGACTCGAGGAGAGAAAGAGCAGGTTTCATTAACTCTAAACTTTCCATTTTTCTTACATTAGAGCTTTTACTTTGGTGTTGAACTGAAGCTGTGCCATTACTTTTCCATAAAATGCACAATGTTTTTTTATGGAAGGATGTCTTCCGTGGAAAGAATAACCAAATGTATAAACGATCCCGCAAGCTAGGGAAATGAGTGTAGTCTGCATTGTTGGAGCCTATTCTGATCCTGAGGGGTTGAGCCTGGTGGGAAAAGCCCTGTTATGTAGTATTCAGCACCGAGGAACGGACAGCGCCAAATGCACTTGGTTAGGCGCTGCCCTTCCTTCGGAGCCCCAAGGACTGCCCTTCTGCAACTGGCCAGAACCAAGCTGTGTTTCTTTTGTCCTGTGCCTTTCTCCTCTTTTAAATAGAAAACAGGAAATTGAACGCAGAGAGAAGTGTGGTTTCGATTCATGATCATGACTACTTACAGGGAACTCAGGGGAGCGTGTTGGACTCAGCCCAAAAGTAAAATTGCAGAGGATCAACTCGCATGTGTGAACGTTTTTTTTTTTTTTTCTTTAAAAAAAAACTCCCAACCACGGGGGGGCGCAGCCTATTTTAGAGAGAGAGAGAGAGAGAGAGAAGAAAAGGAGTAAGATTGGGAAGAAGGCACATTAACTTGTGGGGAAAGGAAGCAAAAGATATCCTTTGCAGGGAGCAAATGAAACTACATTAAGTGGAGAATGATGCTGAGTAGTGCTCGTTATTCATTTGCCTCCATGTTTGTGGAAATGTGGAAGACGCTCATTTCTTTAAACATAATGCTTCTTAACAAAAACAAATGCCATTGTTAATAAGCCAAGTGATGCAGTTAAGCATATGACAATAATGTGAGTAACTCTCACATAAGATGTGGAATGGGCTCAGATTGATAGCCCTTCTGTCTGCTCTAAAAATTTACATGTGTGAGTGTTGAGGGCTGAGTGAACTGCCCTCTTTTTCCTTCATGCCTCAGCCTGAATGGTGGCCTCAAGCTCTCTAGGGTGGTTCATTCTCACAGTAGACAGATGCTATGTGCTAGCAAAGCAAGAGACACTTTGGCTAGTGTTTAATAGTGGTAGGTATGGTTACAGCTGGAATAGGTTTACCCCTTTCCTATTACTGTTCAAGAAAATCAGCTTGGCACAGTGTTGGCAGTAAGGCTGGTGCCCATTAATGAAACATTTCTCTTAACTGGAACTCTATGCAAGCCTGAAATAAACATTTGGTTGATGTACTTAATAGGTTAAACTATTGTAGGAAAGTTTTATCTCCATCCAAACAATATATATCAGTAACTTATTCTGAAATTGAATGAATTTTATCTTATGAACTGTATTTGCCACAATTTCTGGGATGTAGATGAAAAGAATGTTTGCTAAGGTTTTATATAGATAGATAGATAGATATAGATGTAGGATTCATATTAACATTGTCACATAAAGGGGTAGCTAGCTCTATTCTGCTGTGTGCATCAGAATAATAACTTTCAAGCCCATCAGTGGTTTTTTAATATACATAACATGAATTAGAAGAGCCATTTATCACTCTTAAGTTAGTTTTAATAGCATTACATTTATTTGATTAACTTTTATATAAAACAGGTAATTCAGAAACTGAAGAAGATTGTATTTCTACTATGAATTACCTAGTGAGTGTAATGTCTTGGAGAGTAACAGGAGCAAGGCCAGTATAAGCAGGAAGTAAGAATATGTTCAGAGATCTATAGATCACCATACTTCTTTAGTCTTAAAAATGAATTTTAAACCTTTTGTTACTACAAAATAAAATACAAATGCACAAAATAATGTACTCAATAATTTATCACAAAAAGTAAACACTGTGTAACCACTGAGGTCAAGAAAAATAATTTTTGCCCTGACTGGCGTGGCTCAGTGGGTTGAGTGCTAGGCTGCAAACCAAAGGCTTGTTAGTTCGATTCCCAGTCAGGGCACATGCCTGGGTTGTGGGCCAAGTCCCCACCAGGGGGCATGTGAGAGGCAACCACATATTGATGTTCCTCTTCCTCTCTTTCTCTCTCCCTTCCCATCTAAAAATATATAAATAAAATCCATTAAAAAAAAAGAACTTTGCAAGCCTTTCAGAATAATATTCCAAGATTTTCAAGAGGCACAGGAGGAGTGAGGGAATACCATAGGTTCAACATTTTCCAGTTGTGCAGACTTACCTGTTTCCTTTGGGTAAGAGTAACTCTGGATTAACACAAATCTGTGATTACTTAGTTTGTAATTAAACTAGAAGGTGTTCAATAACAGAACATAGTCTAGAGGCAAATATACCTATAGCAGTGTTTCCCAACATAGAAAATAACAATATTTGTATGGCATATGGTAAACTGAAGGAAATTCGAGGACCTTATATGGGGCTTGGTAAAGAAATTCACTATATCTTCTTTATATAAAACAACTTTGGTAAGAAAATAAAATACAATATTTGGGGAAGTATATTAAAATTGAATATAGAATACTTTAAATTGAGAAATATGAATATACTTCTACCCATGTAACTTTTTGTCTCAAGTTTTATATTTGAAAGCCTATATAGCATTTCTTTAAAAAATTTTTTTATTTTTATTTATTTATTTTTAAAATATTTATTTATTTGTTAGAGAGGAGAAAGGAGAGAGAAAGAGAGGGAGAGAAACATCCATGTGTGTTTGCTTCTCACACATCCCCCAGTGGGGACCTGGCCCACAACCCAGGCATGTGCCCTAGATGGGGAATCACACCAGTGATCCTTTGATTTGCAGGCCAGTTCTCAATCTACTGAGCCTGCCAGCCAGAGTATATATACCACTTTTAATCAAACCATTTTAGTTATAATCTTCTCAAATTCTTGATAGTTGCTGTCAATAAAAAAATCTTATATGTAGAAATAGTGCATAAATATTTTGAAACAATTTTACAGCCATCGAAACATTTGATTTTCAATATAGCAACTCTTCCTTTTATTATCTTACTAAATTTACCATTGGAATGTCATAAAAGGATGCTATAGGTTTAAAATTCACCTAAATTTTATATGTTAAGTATTACAGCTTATATTAAAATTCTTGAAAAATATACATGTCTTTTAGAGATGTTGCTATACACCTACTTTGCTACAAACGAATATGCATTTGTTTAATGTATGGAAAGACAACAGTAGGGCCACCACCTAAATATACATGGCTGACCTTCTCATTGCCTATCTTCCTGTGGCCAAATTTGGACAGGCATGCTATGCTAATTAAGCACTTAGAACATGAACTTCTCCAGCAAATCCACAGATCCTTTTCCCATGATGGAAAGGACATGCTTGCAGCAAGTTGCTGAAGTAGATATCACGGTGATAGACATTCATTCAACCTGATTGAGCCAGCTGCCATGAAGGGTGAGTGTCACTACTATTTTTTTGAGATTATTTACTTAATTATTTTTAAAGAGTGAAAGAAAGGGAGAGAAACATTAATGTGAGAGAGATAAACATCAGTGTGAGAGAGGAACATCTTTTGGTTTCCTCTTGAATGTACCCTGAACAGGTATCAAACCCATAACCCAGGCATGTGCCCTGACTGAGAATCAAACCGATGACCTTTCACTTTGCAGGTCAATGCCCAACCAACTCAGTCACACTGGTTAGAGCTGTGTGGCTAATTATGATTGACTAATTGATAATCTGGTTGGGTCTTCTTCCCAGGAGCCCAGAATCAAGCAACTTGCCTGGCCTTCAAAAAGGATGAGATGACAAAATATCTTAAGGGACATCTATGATCCCACTGGTTGGGAAGGCTCTGTTCTATTGAAATGTAAGTAAGAGATTAATAAAGCCAAGTCTGTACACTGAAAGGCTTTGAGGTGGATAACTAATTTTAAAGGATTTTGTGAATGAACTAGACAAGCACTTGAAGTCTTGAATTTAATATAAAATTGAATTATTAGAATTGAGGAAATTGGTGCTATTAATTACAATTATTAAAAATGATCAGTCATTTCTAATGAAAGCTGGTAATTAAATGTAGTCATATATAAGTATTTATTAACACTTTTTCTTTCTTTAGAACAGGTTGTTTTTGTTTGATTTGTTTGTTGCTTTTGTCATTTCATTTTATTTTTTATTGTATTTTTTTTTACCATTACCATTTAGTTC